TCTTTTTCCCCTCTCACTGTTGGGTCCATGTGGCAGGGGTGAGGAGTGAGCACCACCTCACCCCTGCCATGTGGACCTCAAGGGATAAACCATCAACCCTGCTCAATGGTCAACTTTCCTCTCGGGGTCACCCATAAAGACAGTGGGAGGGTTAACGCTCTTGCACTTTCAAAACTTTGTTTCTAGTTGTATTGTCCCACTCCAACATGGTTAACTGGAAGTTTAGAATGAGCAACAGGGTAGGAAGGTCAAATAGCAAGAGGTTAGAGGTTAAATGTCAGTGAAATCTGTGCTTTACCGCGGGCATCGAAAACCAACGTTCTGGCGCAGCATGTCGACTCCTGACGGGTTGGAAGTCCCAACGCAACGGAAACAAACGCTTGGTCACCCATCATCATTTTATTGACACTTCAGGTGTGAGATTGTGTTGTTCCTAGCAGAAATTAACATTTCAGATATCCATTTAAACATTCTTACTGAATGAAAATTTCTAACTTATGAAATGTTCAAAATAGCAACGTTTTTGATATTATTCAACATAACTACATTCACAGTAATGTCACAGTTACTTTGCTAGGGAACTAATTACTTTTACAGTGTAGTAACTCAGTTGCTTTTTGTAAAAACTAATTTGTAACTATAACAAATTACTTTTTTAACATAGGATGCCCAACTCTGTTTAATACTGGTAAGTCAATTATAATTCTAATCTTGCATCTTGCCACTGTGCGTGATTTTAAATGTACACAGAAAAATATCAACCATCTAAGGAAGGAGGAGGCTTAGCTTACCAGAATCATTCCTGTGATGTGGATGTTTATTTGCATTTAAATGCAATTTAATTTAATAAAACGGAAATCAGTATTTGAGTTAAGATTTAGGTTTGTTCAGCTAAGCTCTTTTTTAATATATAAATCGGCTTGTTATGCTGCCAGGTATTTTTATTTTACGATATTCATACATTTTGGAATCTTAATAGATTTTCTGTGTTGTCTCACAGTCTAGACACATGGCAGGTGTTCATTTAGATTCTAAGGAAGTTCAGTACAAAAAGGGCCTTTAAACTGTCCCATTTCTTTCTCCACATGCAGAATCATTGTAAACACCTGACACTGACATGAGGAAAATGCTGCTTCGGCTGTGATCAACATCAAAACACTCCCTCCACATGTAACATTCTAAATTAAACAAGCTTCAAATAAAAAGTGAAGAAATATGACATTTAATTTCAGGACTAATAGAAGCTGCTTGTATATAATTCACTATTGTCGCCCTATGAACAGATGCTCATGCTATTATTTCCATCCTCCCTCTGCAGAGCTACACTAAATACAGAATGATGAACCACCCTGTAACACACTAGAGGGGCTTTAAAGTCCACTGAATGCAACACTCATCATTTTTCTTACCCCTCCCTCTTAAGTCAGAGGTTATTGATTTTCTAGAACCTCCCTTTTCCGCTCAATACTGATCTTTACCCCCTGGGTTGCTATCGTTTTAAGCTCTCTCACACACACACACACACTACCTGCCAAGGTTAGAAGGTCACTCTGTCTTCTGTGTGAAGGGAGAAGGGGACTACGGAAGGCAGATAAATGGACTAAAGAGGACAAAACAGAGGAGGGAAAAAAATCACTGGAAGAATGTTATAATGTAGCTCAATGCTTGTGGAATCAATTCATAAGGGAGAAGGAGGTTCTAACATTGTCGGGTTCTGTGAAAGCTTTTTCATTAGTTCAAATAATCTGAATCCAACTGTTTATTCTTTACACTAAAGTCAGGCTGATTCACAGAAATGTACAGTGATGTTTTCAGAAATCGATGACTCAAAGAGAGTGCATCATAAGTAAAACAGACAGTAAATAGAGCTGAGAAGCACATTAGGGTTCTGATAAACAGACCGTCAGGGTTATTAAGACCTGCATTTAGCCAGATGCATGAATCACCCTCCTCTTGTAATGTCAGTAATTGGCCAAGAGGCTTCTGCCCCACTTGATCCAAACTTTATACATCTGCTTCTTTATGCTTTCAAACAGCTCCTTACAAATAACAATATTGAATTGAACATCATTTACCATAAGTCCTTTAAATTTATCGCACCAATCATTCTTCAGTTTCATGCAGGGGAATCAGACATTATTATTATTATTAGTGGTTTATTTGTTAGCCAACACTAGGGCTGCACGAAATTAGGAAAACCTGCGATATGCGATAACAGCGATTAATATTGCGATGATGATATCACTTGCGATAAATAAAAACAACTCAGGAACAAAATAATCCAAAACAAAGAAATAAAAAAATGGCAAAAAATCATCAAAATGAGAAAAGCAAAAGATGTGAGGAAAGAGAAAAAGAAAATGAACAAGAAAAGGTCATCAGTGGACCTCGGGAAAAGCAGAATCAGCAGAAAGAGCAGAACAACGCTAACTCAGGTGTTTGCTAACCATAAAAATTAAGTGTCGTCCGCCTTGGGGCCGGGCGTCTGACCTATGAGAACCCACCCAATTGGCCAAATGGGTGAAGAGCTCTATTTGATTATGTTTAGCCATTATGAGCTGACCATTCATTACAATATTTATCTGTTCTTTGCGATGTGCATATTGCGTGTGCGAATATCGCAATAACGATATATTTGCGATATATTGTGCAGCCCTAGCCAACGCCTTTGCAGAGACTTAAATAGCTAACTGAAGTGAAACAGTCTGTAATCCCACTCAGTTTCTGCTTAATCTCAGTAAACAGGATGGAGAAAACTGTCCCGGGCGGAGGTGCCAGAACACAGCCCAGTCTGGTGGTGACAATTCTTGTGTGCGAGTGCTGCTTTATTGTGCCAGCTATGTGCACATGTGCTACACTCATCTTGTGTACCGGCAGAAAGAACATTTGTGCTTCTTGGCAGCCTGAGGAAGAAGAAGGAGCATGAGGAAACAGTCAATCTGCCTCTCTGTCTTTGCAACAGCCACTGGAGGCTTTCCAGACGATGCATACACTCCCGATCATCTAGTGGACCAGGGCACCTATTAACAGTAAATAATTAGTTTTTGTTACAATGAAGGTAATATCAAACCTTTATGGTGAAATATTTAACTTTTGCAAATCAGTCTGACATTTAGGAGATTGGAACTGTTTTACAATGACAGTAATTAATTTGGTCTCTGACTAGCTGTTAGCTAGAGGCAACATTCATCCCTTCAAAATGAGCTCAACAGCGGTTAAGCTGTAAATATTTATAACTTCAAAATGACCAAAATCTTCCTTTGATGTGCATGGTATAACATCACAGCATGTATGTATTTTCATACACCTGTAAGTAATGCACAGTGAGCTCCCAATATTTCAAAGAAGCAGCCAGAAGCAACAAATAAAAAGAAAATGCATCCATGAAGCAGGTGGGGAAGCGTTTCAGAGACATCCAACTGCAGAAATGGGCTAAAATTAATTTTAACATCTTGAGGCCATGAGGTCCATGCACGTCCCTTCACCTGCATTAGGAAAACTAGGTCATTTTGACCTTAGAATCATGACATGAAGAGCCTGTCTGGTGGATTGCACCACATATTGTAGCCCTGTTGGAAGGAAGAGCAACATATGAGGAAGATTGTTATTCTGTTCGGAGCTAGGTGAGAGGACGGGTGCTCTGTGATAAATGTTCACATCTCTCAGCTGAAACCAGCTTCTGTTTGGGCAAAGTCAGAACCTTGAGCACGATCCTTTAGGGAAGCATGAACGTTTTGGTGTCTGTCACTCTGCTGTTGTCCTGCCTGCTGCTTTTAATTCTAGTTTTACCCAAATCTAAAAGCTCTAGTAAAACTAAATTGGCAAAATTAATAACAATTCTCACCAGGGAGCACAAACTATTAACAAAAGAGATTTTTTAAAGGAAAAATTTGCTAGAAAATTAACGGTTCAGATATTTGTAGCATACATGTGTGTGTGTATGTGTGTGTGTTTATAAAGAAATTATCTAAAAAAAGTCAACCTTTTGACGATTAGTCTTTTTATTAAACAGCCTATTAGCAATCTCAAGTTTTAGCATGAGTCCAACGAATGGATTTGAATTATTTAACCATTTTAATGGACCCACTTCATATGTTAGTCATGTCTTAATAAAATCTATATATTTATACCATCATTTGCTGCTTGTTATTGAGTCATTCTGCCTTCAGGTTTATTTTTATTTTAATTGCAACATTTTCTCTGTCAGGTTTCTGACTCAGCCTAATAAAAACATGTGGACAGCTCTCCGGTTGCCTTTGCTGTTAGGATTATTTTTTAATCTGCAGCTGAAAACGTTCCTTCACTGTTCATCCAGCCTCCATCCAGCCTAAAGGTTCTCTCTGTCTTCTTTCTTCTTGAGCATTTCCAGCGGTTTATGAAGGCATTTTTGTACCTCAATTTAAATCACTGGTGAAATTAACCCCTTTAATTATGTCTTATTTCATTTGCAGCAGCAGTGATGTGGTTGATTCATGCTTCACATCCTCGTTGCGTTAAGCCCACATGCAGATCAGGCTTTTGGACCTGAAAGACTTTATACTGTTACTGTATATGTGTGTGGGAGTGTCGGTGGCAATTATTCCACTTTCCTGGGGCGAGTTGGATCTTTCCAGCATTGCAGCAAACACTCTTCATCTGTATGGAAGTTTTCCTCTTTTTCTGTCGTATAATTCTGTTTTTAGGAATCTACCCACTCACAGGCTGCTCAGTGTCCCCTGTATGTATATTTTAGGATTGTGATCAGATCCGTCACGTTGTTCCTCAAAGTTTTTTTCTGTTGCTCCGTCAGACAAGCAGTTGTTTTCACTTTGTCCAGGCACAATTTTCTGTCCTTTGTCCTGCCGTTTGAGTTCTTTGACAGCCTCATTTTGCTTCACACACAAGTAATATTACTGATTGATTTCAGTTTGGGCATAATTAAATCTCTGCTCTTCTTTATTTCTAACCAAATCAGAATTTACCATAGCATGTTACAGCTGAATTCTGCTTCTTTTCCACAGCAACTGATGCGGTCATCCGTGTTCCACATGTTCATCCTGACTATGGTTGCTGTTGATGTCATTGTTGCTGCCAGCAACTATTATAAGGGCGAGAATTACCGCAGACACTTTGATGAGTTCTACCTGGCAGAGGTGAGATTGTTTTTTAAAGGGATACTTTGCATCCTTTTCACATGTTTTAATCATTTTCTTGAGCCAGTATGTGCTAGAAATGATCCTTTACAAGGTTAATGAAAGGCTGCCCAGCCCCTATCACCCCCCTGTGGCCAGAATACTGCATTTGCAACTTCACAGTCCCCTGTCCGGTCTGTTGGACTTAGAAAAATGGAGCTGACTTACCTGGCGCTGCAGTTTTCTTCCAGCACGTTTCCTGCATGTTTTAGGTCATGAAAACCACTGATTTGTTTAATTTAGTGATGAATCACTCCTGTAGACACTAAGGAAGGTTGGGGAGACAGTTCAGCTGCTAGATTAAGGTGTTAAAAAAGACAAATGCAGCAAGGAGATAAATTTTGCTTTCAGTTCTACAAACGAATATCAAAGGGTGCTGAAAGCAAGCCAAAACTGCCTAGTTCCCCTTTACTATTACATTTCCTTTTTTCCCCTTCATGCTTGAGTTTTCTATAAGGTTTGCATATTCATGTTTGTCCTCTGACATTGTACTGGGATTTCTGGAGACATGGAATCAACATTTAACATCATGCAGTCTATTTAGTTGTTAAAGGCCTACCATGCTTTGAATTATACAACAGTTAGTTCCAACCGAGTGATTTGATTGGTCAAGGGACTTTCCAAGAGTGCTGATATTGGACTATGACAGCACTGGGACTGTTTACAAACAGTATCACTCCACTGTGCGCAGGCGTTCTAACTGTTATTGTAGAAAATGTTTGTGTTGCCTAGCAACAGCCTTGTCTGAGTCCCCATTTCGTGTTGGGACTATTTGTGTTAGCGGAGCCTGATAAATGATTAAATAAATGAACAAATCATAATCAGTTGTTGCTTATTGCTGTTATAAAAATAAAATGAGCAGGTAGAACTGTTGTATAAAAGCAATATCACACGAGAGGTTGTGCGTTGTTGCTGAATATCAGCACTGGTGTGATATCTACTGCACTCGGCCTGCGGCCTCTTGTCTACGACCAAATCACACCAGTGCTGATAGTCAGCAACAGTGCACAACCTCGAGTGTGATATTGCTTAAATAATACATAAAAGGCATCACCTTCCATGCCAGATTTTTATAAAGCTCTAATGTTTAGATGTGATGGAGTTACAGCTGTTTACCCCTGGTAGCCAAATAATGCATACGGTGCTATGATAGTAAAGTGTTTTTAATGGAAGTAAATGTTTGTATTATATTTTACACTCTCTTCCTTCCCTCCCAGGTTGCATTTACTGTTCTGTTTGACTTGGAAGCTCTTCTGAAAATTTGGTGCCTCGGCTTTTATGGTTACATCAGCTCGTCTCTGCACAAGTTTGAATCTCTGCTGGTGGTCGGCACCACTCTGCACATCTACCCCGACCTTTATCACTCCCAGTTCACCTACTTCCAGGTATGGATGCATGAATGAATGCATAAACATAAGGGATGTCCCGATCCCAATCACGTGATCGGATCGGGCCGATTTTTTCATATTTTTCAGTGATCGGAGATCCGCAATTATAACTGACGAGTCTTGCCGATCTTCCGAAATACACTATGAGCATGTTACCATATGCTACTTGTGGGGGGAAAAACTCATGTAGAGGGCTTCTTTTCTTTTGTGATAGTCTCACCTTGTTTACGGTCTGTTTATGGATGGTTTTCGAAAAGAAGTCAGCCAAATGCATGACAAATCAAGCGGCGTTTTATATATTTTTAAGATGTCTGGAGCACTTATCAACTTCTGCTCTCTGTCTTGTCAGCTCGCATGAGTTCAAATCCTTCCAGGGAAAACTTAGTCTGCTATGAACTTGTTAATCCACCTCTTCGTAAAAAACATCATGCTCAGTAGTCCAGCAGTAGCCGGGTCAGCGCAGAGCTCGTCCATTTCCCATAATCACGAAGGGTAGATGGTTTATATCTCCGTTTTCTCTCCAGAGCGTAATTCTGGAGCAGAACCCACGTTTCCCGTAGAGAAGTGAGCTGCAGTAGAGCTAGCATTAGCTGCGCCCACCGTAAGGGCATTAAAACACGCACAAAACACACAAAGAATAAAAAGAGAGTAACAAAGCGAGAGTAAGTTAGCATTTCCTTGTGAACAGGGTCGGTGTTTAAATTCCCCTGCCACTCTGTGTTTACTCAAAAGTGGAGGGCACAGACATATGTACGTAGACGCCCCGTGGACTAGCGTTGCCTATTAGAGCTGCCGTAGTGGCCGGCCGCCATTTTAGATGGGTCTCTGTTCGCCCCCAATGCATTCATTTCTACTGAGAAAGCCGCTTACCACACTAAAAATGCACGTTATCAAGCTTTTTCATTAAATCAGACACAAGGTATGGCTTGATCATTAAAATATAAATATTATTAAACAAAAAGCGAGAAGAGACGCATCCAATATGGCGACAATGCTATTACGCTCTCTAGAGTCCAATGTGGCGTCAACATATTAATGTCTATGGTAGATGGCAATATTGATAGCACGTTTCATTATTATACTGTACCAAGTCAGTCTTTTGCATTTTACTTTTGTTCAAAACATTAAACTGAAGCTGACCTATAATCTCTGTGAGATTTTGATTTCATGGGATTTACAGCAATTACAGTAATGCTTGTGTTGCAGGTATCGGGCCGGCACAATCCCCACTAACAGCTTAAATATAAATTATTGAGGGAACGTCCGGGTGCCTGAAATGCAAAAAAAAAAAAGAGACGGAGACATTAGAATGGAGTGTTCTCTGTGAACTGCTGCTCCCGAATCTTTAATTATCTTTTCTCAGGATAATATATTCCCTTTTACATTACACGTGTATGTATTCACTTTCCCTTCATTTCCACTAAAACAGTATTCAATCATTTTCACTTACAGTTTCCAGAACCTCATAAACATTCAGGCTTGGCTACAAGACAATGCACAATCAAACATGCATATATATTCACCAGTGTTACCTAGCCGTTGCTACAAGAAGCACTCTTTTGACCCAAAACAACATTAAACTCCACTTTTTCTATTATTATAACTAAACCTACTTCAGCACCCTTCTATCGATTAAACACTCATTGAACATATACATTTCTATTAAACCCATTAAAGCTAGGATAGCTCACAACCTTACCAGTTGAGCTATTTGTCTGTGAGGCTAGACTATGGGCACAAAACGTTAACGGCTATGTACGTCTATTTAACTCTATAACTGAACCTTTAGCATAAGCTATCAACCGTCACCACATTTATAAACTCATGGCACACCTCATATAGGTGGATTTGTATGCTTGGGTGCACTTTACTAACCTGAAATGCAAAAAAAAAAAAAAAAAAAAAAAGAGACGGAGACATCAGAATGGAGTGGTTTCTGTGAACTGCTGCTCCCGAATAACGGTAGATGGGACACAGAGCTCCACTAGCCGTCTCGCATCCCCCCGCTACCTTGTGGAGAACCCCGGTATTGCGCCCCACACTTTCCTATTCTTTTATTACTTTTACTAAATTACACCACTAAATATTTAAAAAAAAATTATGTGACAACACTTTGTGGGCGTCACACTTGCTTATTAATAACATTAGTCTTAAAAAGTTAACTTGAGTTACTTGCTAAAAGTATATTTTAGCTTTATTAATTTCAATAGTAAAGGCAAATTATCGGATCGGGACTCGAAATCGGATCGTATTTGAAGTTTAAAGATCGGATCGGGATCAGGAGCCTGAAATGCTGATCGGGACATCCCTAATAAACATGTTAAAGCACATTCACCTGCAGAATGGAGAAATCAATGATCTGCACAAAGATCTAAAGCTAGAAATTGTTTTGCAGCACTCAGCACAGTCAGTCATTCAACCATTCACCCCAGGGGTCAAATCTGACACCATATTGTTTTCCTTCCTTCCTTCTGGACCTTCTGTCTTTATTCTCTTCTTTTTTTAATCCAGGGAATCAAAGATAGTCATTAATTTTACGAGCGCTGCATTCTAAAGAAAAATCTCTGGCCTGAAGCATCTTAGCGAGAAGAGCTTTCATCAATAGCTGCTTTCTGAAATTCCAATCAAAGCCTGACAAAGACACATTATCTTTAGGGTTTGCTTTAACCACTAACAGTGTGTGGACTAAACCTGTTGAGGGAGCATGGCCGCTGGATTAAGATCAATCTACTTGATTTATAAAAATCTATCAGCAATCACTTTGATACGTCTGATGTTCATGTAAAACCTTTGCAGGGTGTACCACATGTAGTTGATGTTATGCTTTCTGTCCCTTAGGTGCTACGTGTGGTGCGTCTAATAAAGATTTCCCCTGCTCTAGAGGACTTTGTCTATAAGATTTTTGGTCCTGGTAAAAAACTGGGCAGCCTAGTGGTGTTCACAGCCAGCCTTCTAATTGTCATGTCAGCCATCAGCCTGCAGATGTTCTGCTTCGTGGAGGAGCTGGACCGATTTACGACCTTTCCAAGGGTAAGAGACCTCTCAGCCTCATCTTCTCATCCAAAATGCCAAAATGTATTACAAAAACTCCATGGAAATGTTTTTAAACATAAATGTTGTAATTTTTTTTTTTTACAAAAGTCTTATTTATTATGTATTTTGATTTCAAAATGACTACAGATTCCGTTCATAACTTTCATGGACAGGATTTCTAGGTGCAGCCAAGATGTTGAGGGGATCTGTTTTGGTGCCCTAAGGTTTAAGTTTCTGCTTTTTGCAGATGATGTGGTCCTGTTGGCTTCATCAGAACGTGATCTCCGGCTCTCACTGGAGTTGTTCGCAGCCGAGTGTGAAGCAGCTGGGATCAGCTCCTCTAAATATGAGACCATGGTCTTGAATCAGAAAAGGATAGAATGCCTTGTCCAGGTCGGGGACGAGGTCCTGCCTCAGGTGGAGGAGTTAAAGTATCTTCATGAGTGAGGGAAAGATGGAACGCAAGATCGATAGGCGGATTGGTGTTACTTCTGCAGTGATGCGAGTGTTGTACCTATCTGTTGTGGTGAAGAGAGAGCTGAGCCGGAAGGCAAAGCTCTCAATTATGGTCACGAGCTTTGGGAAGTGACTGAAAGAATGAGATTGTGGATACAAGCGACCAAAATGAGTTTTCTCCTCAGGGTGTCTGGGCTCTCCCTTAGAGAAAGGGTGAGAAGCTTGGTCATCCGGGAGGGGCTCGGCGTACATCCGCTGCCCCTCCAGTTGAGGTGGCTTGGGCATCTAGTTAGGATGCCCCCAGGACACCTCTCTGGTGAGGTTTTTCGGGCATATCCCACCGGGAGGAGACCTAAAGGAAGACCCAGTACACACTAGAGAGAATGTGTCCGGATGTGACCTCGGACAAGCGGCCAGAAATGGATGAATGGAAGGATTATCTAAATGTATTAGGGTTTGGCTGCACAGTGGTGCAGTGGTTACCGCTGTTTTGGAGCAAGAAGGTGCTTGATTCAAATCCCAGCCTGGGATGTTTCTGCAAGGAGTTGTCCCTCCGGGTACTGCGGCTTCCTCCCATAGTCCCAAAAAATGTCAGGTCGATAAGTCTCTCTAAATTGTCCTTAGGTGTGAGTGTGTGTGTGCATGGTTGTTTGTCCTGTGTGTTTCTGTGTTGCCCTGAGATGGACTGGCAACCTGTGCAGGGTGTACCCCACCTGTTTGCCTGGAGACTGCTAGAGACAGGCACCAGCCCCCTGCAACCCTGCATGGATAAGCGGGTACAGAAATTGAATGGATATTAAGATTTTTTGCTCCAAAGGAAACAAAGAACTCCCATGTGGAAGTGCCATAGAAACCACATCATTTTTTTCATGTTAGTGTCGTGACTCGAGGTAAGTGCCTAACCCAAGACATGCAGAATCATACTCGTCGGGCAGAATTGGTAAAGTAAAGTTCTTTATTACACAAACGGGAACAGAAACAGCACAGGGAAGTCCTGTGACTGTGAGCGATGCAGCTCTAGTCCTTGTAGCGTTCGGGATGAACGAGAGAGGAGGGGAAGCCGGGGTGAGCGCTGGGCAGAGGGTGAGCGCTCCGGGAGGGGTGAGGTAGCAGAGGGAGTCCAAACAGGAACAACGGAGGAGGATGGGACGTGGTGTGTGAGATCCAGCGTACGTAGACAGCAAAGGTGGAGCAGGTGGTGTGAGAATCCTGAGAGGAAGGGAAACAAACACCAAACGTCAGGGATAATCCAAAAATGTAGTCCACAAACACAATCCAAGTTCATAAATTCAACAGTCAGAGAGCGAGTGAAAACACGAACGAACAAGAGCAAACAAGTGGCTGGGGCTACCTAAACTGGTGCAGTCATCCGGCACAGTGAGGTGTCTCCATCCTCCTTTTAAACCCGCGTTACTGATTTGGAAATCTCCTGCAGCTGCTGCTCCTCACCTGTGGAGAATTAACCCAAGGCTGATGAGAGGAGATGGTGTGACTCACCTCTGCCCAGGTACATGACAGTTAGTTGGAATTTAAAATGAAAATTTAGGAAGAAACAGGACTGACACCTTTTCTTGTATTGCAACCCCATGTCATGACTTCCACTGTTATGCTTTACTGATGGATGTCTTAACTTCTATAGCTCTGTGGCCTTGTGGTAGAGTGTCTGCCCTGGGACTGGGTTCAAATCCCGGTTGGGTCATACCAAACACTTTAATAAAGGGGCCCAATGCCTCCCTGCTTGACACTCAGCTTTTAGGGGTCTGAGGGTTGAATCACCAAATAGTTCCCGAGCAGCTGCAGCTCACCGGTCCCCATGGGGATGGGTCAAATGCGGAGATGTGTGTGATGATGATTAATGCGACTTTAACCAGGTTAATGCCCCACAAATAAACATCTTTGCATATTTAACTTTCTAAACGAACTAATCTTCAAAACATTTGAATTGTTTCTTGAAGGTGACCCACTTTGTGCATTTTGCATATTATTACTTTGTCTTTTAATTCATTGTTGGAAGTTTATTGGCATCACTTCAAAAAAACTCTAGAATTCAACACATTTTGTCCTTTAGATCCCACCTTATACTAAAACATGTAAAGTGTTTGTTTTGGATTATTGGGGTGACGGTGGCACAGGAGTAAAGCGTTCGCCCCGTAATCAGAAGGTTGCAGGTTTGAGCCCTGCTCAGTTTGTCACTGTCGTTGTGTCCTTGGGCAAGACACTGAACCCCCTTTGCCTGCTGGTGGTGGTCGGAGGGACCAGTGCCACCAGTGCTCACCAGCCTCGCCTCTGTCAGTGTGCCCCAGGGCAGCTGTGGCTGCATCGTAGCTCATCACCACCAGGGTGTGAATGTGTGTGTGAATGGGTGAATGACTGATTGTGTTGTAAAGCGCCTTGGGGGGTTCCAGGTCTTTAGAAGGCGGTATATCAAATACAGGCCATTTATTGTTATAATAATTTTTAGAATTATTTGTCAGTATCGAGTTGTTTTTTATATTATATGAATTTTTATATTTTTACTTTGAACTAAATTGCCACCTTTGAATTAAAGATACACCAAACGTAACTTTAGTAGGTAATATGCAAACCTGCAGACGCCGTTGATGAGATGCATTACGGGTTAACAGATGTGGAACTGTCTTTGATTTCTAAGTGCTCACTAACTTGTCTTTCTTTCTCATTAGCGACATCTTTCCACCCTTGTTTAGTTTTTTTTTTCTCTTTTTTATATTGCCTTCAAACTTTTTAGCAATCTCAGGCATGCGGGATATGAAAGCTGCTGGAAACAGCTGCCACTTATATGCTGGATTACCCTCCCCTTCATCATTTTCCTCCATCAGTTTATTGTGTTACACACACACACACACACACACACACACACACACACACACACACACACACACACACACACACACGTATCCAGATTCAAATACATAGTTAATGATGTTCGACTGTATTCCCTCTGGGCAGCCCATATTTTTGGATCTATCTTTATCTGCATTGGCTGGGACATGGCAGCAGGTGGGGAGGTTGAGGGCCTTGGGTTGATGTCTCAGGAAGAAAAAAGAAGAAGAATGTGCGGGCATGCCATTTGACTTCAGAGGTCACAACTGGTTGTTCTAAACACTTTCATTTCACCTCTACAAAAGAGCTCGGGAGCACAGTAAGATGTCAGTGTGCTTTTTTCCTTGCTTTAAAGGGACATATGAGGCAAGTCTCGCGTGTTGCATCCATATGCAGTTTTGTTATAATTAGAAAACTTAGCATAGACACCCCCACCCTCACCTGTCGATGCTTAAGGGGGATTTCACTCTGAGCGTGGAGGAGCAGTGGCTCTACTCTGAGCCCTTCCTGGGTGTCTGAGCTCCTCACCTCATTGCAGCAAATTGGGGATGGGTGGGCGTGGCCAGCAACTGCATTAAAGTGACAAAGCCTTGAGATGGCTCATTCTGAAAGGTACTGAAACTGTCAGGAATAGAGATGGCCAGATTGTTTTACATGAGTGAATTTGTTCAAAGCACTTCATGAACAACTTTATTTATTAATGTATTTTAAAAACATGTAATATGTCCCCTGCAAAGATTAGAAAGGAGACCTTTTTAGAAGACACAAACGCAAATCAGCGTATAATACTGCTGCCACGGTGTGTCTAGTCAAAGCTCAGTGGCGACATGGCGATGCTGGAATTTTGCAGCATTCATTCTCCCGAGCTTGGTAGTAATATTGCAGCAACTTGCAGCATATTACGCCTTGGCGCAAGAGAGGGTGGTGTCATGATCATGTGGGGAATTGCTGCTAATCTCCAGCAGGAAACTATTAAAAAAAACATGAGCAGTAAGTTTAGCTTTTGTTAACAGAATCAGCGGAGATGTTAAACTGGAGCGATGCACACCTTTAGGAGCGGCTTGAGAAAAAACTTAAGAAGCACGGCTTCAATCGCAATAAAAGCGAGTTATGTCCGCCCCCATTCCCCCTTTTTATCACCATTGCTTAATCTTTTATGAAAAGGAGATGATTACACAACATTACGGCCATGATCTGACCACTCATAAACAACCTAGGCTCCCAGATGCTGCCTTCTGGGAGCTTTGTGGCAAATTGGTGGCATTGTTTTGTGAAAGAGGCTAGGGATTTGCACAGCATCTGTGTAAGAAGTTCCATCCAGTAGAAAAAAAGGCTATTTATCTCATTTAGCTGTCTCTCTTTAGTCTCCTTCCGTTTTGCATTTTGAACCCTTCCACTTCCTTTTACCTTGTGCTTCCTCCCTGCAGGCGTTCATGTCCATGTTCCAGATTCTCACCCAGGAGGGCTGGATAGATGTCATGGACCAGACTCTGGTGGCTGTAGGTCAAGTGTGGGCTCCAGTAGTGGCCATTTACTTCATCCTCTACCATCTGTTCGCTACCCTGGTGAGGAACAGGCTGTGCTGTTTCTTCCAAATAAGCCAATGAGGCATTTAAATGCTTGCTTTTTGTGCATTTTCAAATGACTAAATTGGAATTTTATTTAGAGAGAAAATCTGAATACAAGTGTCAAAATGTTGCATTCATTTTTCTTTATTTCGCTCAATTAATCCCCTGCCCCACTTTGGTTCACACAAGAGGAACATAATCACAGATACGTAAGGCAGGCTGACATTTCGGTGTTTGGCCCTCTGATGGATCAGACAGCAGACTGATGACTCACACCTCACCGCAGACTGACAGGATGTCTTCCAGGATAGAACAAGCTACCAATGCCATCACAGTGCAGATTGTGTAATGCAAAATATATATAAATATATTAATACCGTACAGCTTTTTTTTTTCTTATTAGGGCTGGGCACTGTGATTTTGGCTGACTGTCACATGTCCGCACGCAGCAGATGCAGATTTACACTTCCTCTTGTTGCATTTTAGATTCTGCTGAGTCTTTTTGTGGCCGTTATCTTGGACAACCTGGAGTTGGACGAAGACTTAAAGAAGCTCAAACAGGTAAGAAGCTTTATTCAACCTTTACAGACTAAAATATTTTTCATTTGCATAGAGAGTGATCCTCGTGTGATACATTTCCATTATTGTAAGCAGTTTCTGGCATTTCCAAAGCGTGTGTGTCAGTGAAGCTTCAACAACGTCAGATGTGGTTTCTGGTGTTTTTTTTTACTCATCACAATGCTGTTGTTGCAAGATTCAACTTTTAGGGAATATGTTTTGTGGTTTTGTGTGTTTCTTGGTGGTTCTGAGCTTTAACATGTTAAAGCCTGTTTTTGAGGTACTGACAGCTTTCTAAGAGACACATGTTCTCTGGATCCCTTGGACATTGAGACCTTTGCAAGTGGATGGGTAGATATGAGCCTATTATTATGCTTCTGGCGGTAATTTTACTGATGATAACAAACACATGCACCTTTACCGCAGAACTGCTGCCACCACTAGCGAAACAAATCAGAGCCGGGCTGGGGGCGGAGCAAATGACTGGGCCCTTTAAACTCAAAGGTCATGATTTTGGCTGTGGCGCCCTGCATTTGGTAACTGGCCTTTCAGTGCCAGTTTACTGACCTATGATGTTACAACGGTGGAGGACTGACCAGCTGTGAATTCTGGAGAATTTCAGAATGGCCGGTGTGTTCTAGGGCGGGTGCTGACCTTCCCCCCACCCCCACTTGTCGGAGAACGTCCAGCCTCCCACACAGTGCTTTAAGAGGACCGGTACGGCCACTTCTAATTTTGAGTATTTCCGGTCATTTGTCAGTCGAAATGTCCAAGATTTCTGATAACATATCAGTCCGTCCTCAGGCTTCAGCCATCCACATCCACGCAGCGCCGCCCCTCCCGATACGCCAGACTCGTGCTCCATGAGGTGCCACCTTTTGCGCACAAGGCGCATCACTGCCGTGAGGCTCGCTGCTCGTACAGCACCTTCAGTCCAGGCGCATGAGAGCAAATACAAAGCCAAGTTATTCAACACCGTGCACGTTCCCTCAAAGTTAGACAGCAGCAGCATTTCACCAACCAGTGGTTTAATGTGCCAACAGGCAGGTATCCATGGAGCTGGATAGATGGCACCCAAACTAAAATGTAGTGAGCAAGCACAAAAAACAAAACGTCAAAACCGGTGCTGCAGATCACGAGATAAAAGAGGATAATTCTCTCTGGATGTGGACTCACTAATCATGTTTTCTACTAATGAAAAAGAGAAAGCTGTTGAAATACTTTCTTCGGGAGGTTTCATTAAGATTACTTTTACATACATTTATCATCATGCAACAGAGAGGGGAGGGTGACGGAGCAAGTGGCAGGATGCTGCGTAATTTAGAGATTACGCATGAATGTTTGTTTAATCTGTTAGTTAGTTAATTTAATATTAAGAAGGTAATTTTGTGTATTGAGAAAAAGAAACTCCATTAAGACCATTTCAAACCTCTGCATGACAGCTGCAACTGCACCACTACTGGCCACAGCTCATGATCAGCAGCTAAATGTTTATTATAATTTGGTTTTATGTGGAAAAAAAATTAATACCACTCACCAAAGTTGTTGAGGAAAACCATCCTCCTCTCTGCACAGGAAGACTTCAATAACTTTGTCATAGAGCTGTTTAGTTCCATCAGTACGTCCTTTTCTATGGCTATAAGGCCAAGGCTGAGCGTCGCCTCTGGCTGAGACCAACAGGCTAGCGACGGGGTTGGGTGGCCTCTCGTAATTTTTTCTCTGAAAAAGTCTGTCTTGTAAATGGAACTGGAATAATTTCTTCCTCTCCGTTAACCATCCACCCAGTTGGCTATCTGTTGACAAGTTATGATGATGTTGGTAGACAGCTGGTAACAGGTTTTGCCCATAATGCACTTGGAGATGATTTTGGAGATCCACTTGTAAATGTGCAGGTCATATGTGAGAGTGAAAATAAAGCATGTCATGCAGCACAGCGTTTTATTCAATATTTTTACTCCAACTACATCACTAAAGTCAGCCGGTCTTGTAAAGTTTTTAGCAACCATGACTCAGTCCTGACCGGGGCAATCTGTATGACCCCTAAATAAATCTGCATGAGCGTAATCGTTAAGAATGGAGCTAATTCTCCTCTGGACACAAGTTAGGGAAGTGAACCGCCCTCCCAGCCCCCCCTGAAGCTCCACCCCTGGCTGCTAGATTTGTCACTTGTTTGCTACAAGCCTGTGGCTGAAAGATTTGGCCATTCACATCCTTACATGTCCCAACCCCATCTTATCCAGAGTTATGCCAAGAGGACATGGAAAGGTCAACAATTAAATGATTAATGATGTATTCACTTTTGCTTCAACCAATTTTTTTTTGTAAAACTGAATATTTTGTGATCTAAATTAGATTATTAATCCTAATTTCATGTTATGGAGTTAAACAAGTATTCAGTAAAACCCAGCCTTGTGAAAATTCTGGAAATTGTTCTTTTGTTCATTGAGCTACTGATGAAATTCACACTTTTTAAATGGGGTGTAGTCATTTATGCTGAGCACTGTATCTAACAGAATTTTTTTATCATATAAAAAAACATTTGTACAGGAAAATCATGTAGATTAACAAGGCTGCCCAAATGTTTGCATCCTACTGTTTATATGACAGTTATGAAGTCGTAATTTAGCAACAACAAGGTGATGCCTTCAGATCAGGTTTGTATCACAACTGCCAATAAATCATAAGTTTTCAGGCTTTTTTTTTTCATTTATTCTAATGCAATCTGTGAAGTGACTATTTCTTCTAGCACAAGGAATGAACATAAGAGTAAAAGAACAACTCAAGTTTCAAGAAATATCTAGAAGATCTCTAGATCGCCTAAATATTAATCTGTAACAATTTAGAAAATTCAAATAAGACATTATGAGTGTTGTGCATAATGCTAGTGACACAAACACAGTGGATAAAGAGCTTGCTGCTGTGTGTTTACCATCTTTAACATGAATCATGAGCACTTATTAAAGAAGGGAGAAGCAGAGACGTGGTCTCACCTTCTGCTGAATCAGTCTAGCATTAACCTTTCACTCGCTTCCAGACTCTGATGTTTTAAGTGCATAAAGACGCTCTGCACGCCGCCACAGAAACTCCTTCGCCCACTGAGGTTTCTGACAATCACTGCAGACACACTGGTGTATAATTTCAATTGCACACAACTCCAAGGGCCACTTGCGTAGGTTACAGAAAAAGCTTTGTGTAAGTTGAACGCAAACGAAATTATTCAGTTTCGAAAGCTAAAAAATACTTTACTCTTCATGTTACTAAGAACAAGAACGAAGGGCTGATGTGGAAAAGTAGAAAAAGCAGTGCACCACATACAGACGTTTCTGCCTCCCCGTCATCTGAAGTGCTTCCTGATTTGGCTGCTGCTTGACATTTTTGTTTATTTTGTCAGGTCCATTTTATTTTAAAGCTGAGTACTTTTTATTTCTACCCAGGGAAGAATGGCAAGGTTGAATTATGCCCACATGTTAGCAAGGCTCTGGTTTTTTATTTTATTTTTAGGTCCTTTTGATTGAGTAAGTGGCCAGTTATCTTTTAAAAAATAAAAAACATACCAAAAAAATAAAAGAAATAAATAACTGGCACTGATGCAGAAATACACTACACTTGATGATAGTAAGCGGTAAATGTTAAGTTCTGCAGGCATATCGTTATGGGGATGTGGGGTTTGAAATTTTCACGCACACAAAAGCATTCTTAAAGCATTTTCTCTTTTTCTGTTTGTATTTATTTAAAACCTTTACATAAATTATCAGCCTCATCAGTTCGAACACTAGCACCAACACAAAAGTGTGTGTGTGTGTTTGTGTGTGTGCCCTCAGAGCGGGCTGACAGGTCTCCACTTGCTTGGACAGGTTATTTTCCTCCCACAGCTCACTGATTAGGTGCACTGACTGTAAAATTGCCTATTTTACAGATGCTTCAATCATGGAAACAGAGACTGACTATATATAAACTATTGAGGGTAATCACCGTCTCACAGGAGAGCGCGTCTGTAAACCGGAGCTTAATAAACAATATAACAAATTAACAACTCATGGAACCATAAATCAGAAACAGAACGTTATAATGTTTTTTTCAGCTGCTTACTAGAAATATTATATAAGAAAGTCAAAAAAATGACTTGTTCAAATAAATCCATCTCCAAATTAGATTGATCCTGTCTTAAAACAGCTCAAATATCCTGCATTTCAAGTCAGTTTATGCAAATATTATTTCATGAAACTTTACATCCCCCTTTTTATAATACATGGTTGTTGCATCAGAAATATTAGGAAATTCCTGCTGGGCTTGAATTTGGGATACCCAGAGTGGTGCATTTTTTCCTGCTGGTTTTTTTTTTATGACTGTAAATATCCAAAGAATTTGCTGTCTTAAAAAAGAGGCAAAACCCTTGTAAAGAGTGATAAAATAACTGCATGAAATCCTGTGGAATTTTGGTGATTCTGTAATTTTACTGATTTGTCATCGTTGGGGGAAGAAAGTTTGTGGTGTTGATCTTCTAACATCCCGCTCTTGTTCTGTTGGAATCAGTTTGCAAATCTCTCAAACACAAGTCCACTTAGATACTGTTGTATTTTTTATTTACCCATGAAAACAACAGATCATTAGAATGTATGTGGTTACAGGTGGGCTAACAGCCTCTTTGTGTTTATTGTATGAAAACACATGAGCAGTCAAGCCTTATCTCCACAGAACATGTACACACAATAAGACCCTGATTTATTATTTTGGTTATTTTAGCACCTGCTCATAACTCAAGATCAGCAGCTGTTAGGGTCTAGTTTAGCAGGTAAGATGACACAAGTGATTGGATCTGCAAACACAGGCTCGGAGAGCTAGTTTAGCACCAGGAATCAAAATAACAAAGTCCCAAATCATTCGACTTAAAGTGACAGTTGCCATGTTTACATGCGTCAAATTTCCCCAATCCGATTCTAATCTTGGTTGATTGGAACTCCCAAATCTCTGTTTACATGTATGCACCAATTATTCAATCAGATTTAATAGGTTGAGCATGCACAGATTTGATCTATCCAAGAAAGAAAAAAGAAATTGTAAAATGTCATAAAACGAAATGAAAAATGTAAAAACAGAAAATAACTTTTCTTCCTGCTTTCCTGATTCATTTAATCAATTTCTTGTTTTTATTTTGCTCAAAGAAGTTACATTTTCTTCAGTGAATAAATGCAGATATACGCTTTGCTGCGTTTTATTGCTGACAATCTTAAAATAAGGTAGGTTCATCCTTGTCTCTTTTGATCAGCTGCTCCGCGAGTTTGACATGACGGCTGAGTGCAGTGCTGCACGGAGCGGGGGTGGTGGAGGGGGTGTCAATCAGCTGAAACTTTTGAGAAAAATGGTTCTAACTAAATAGCAGGAGATGTTCATAATGTTAATAAACGAACCGCATCTCAGGTCATCTGCATTAACATGTTTTTACACAGATAGTCACCCAGAATATTTAACTGAGGATGTTTTTCTACTCAACATCAGCCTCCTTAAACTCAAACCAGGTTTTTTTAATTGACATTACCCGCTCTTCTTTACAAGCACATCTCCATCCACCTGCTGCAGAAACAGCTGCTGCGTTCACAGAAACAGGGATGGATCCGTGCTGCAAATCCCGCAATGAATCTGCCTGTTTCCAGAATAGACTTGAACACGCTTGTCGAATGATTTGTGCAATAATCAGATTTTTATTTTACTACCACAAAATGCAAGTTCTGTATTAGATAGTACTGAAACGGGGACGCTTGTCATCAAATTTAAAAGCCGTCACTTGTTAATTAGGCCATCATTTTTTTAGTCAGGCAGCCTAAATGATGGCGGGGAGGCTCACTAGCTGTTGCACACGTGCGCAGTGGGCATTATTTTACTCCAACAATCCGAATGGCTGTGTACATGCACGTCAATCGGAATGAGGATCGGACAAAACCACTTCTCTCAATTGGATTGAAATTTCATTCTAATTGGGCCGAATTGGATCAGAACATTCAGACTGACATGTTTACATGCAGAGTTTTTGATCTGATTGGACTTTCAATTCGATTAAATGTGCGCATGTAAACGTGGCTACTGTGTATTTTTCCTGGCGAAGGGAGGCAGTAGACACCTAAATCGTTGCAAGCAAGCAGTATTTTTGTGGTGGAGTAAGACCTTACCAATGGATGCCCATTAGGGTCAAAAAGCCCTGGGGAGTGCAAACTTCAGCAAAATAACAAGCACATCAGACTCCCTTTCATCACTGGCAACAAGTGAAGAGGTAAACGTGTAAAACGGCAACATTTAATAATGGCAAAAGTTTTGTAACCGTTTGTTACAAATCAATTAATGCATTTTGTCCTCACAGGCTCCCATAGAAGGAAACATGGCATCTAATATGGCATCGCCCTGAGACTTAGACCTGCTCCCATGTATTTTAGCCCAGATTTTTATGGTTATGTGTTATCAAGCCACCAATATTTTTGAACAACTGGGTATATTTTAATCATTCTCAACAACATTTTGATGGATATTTCCAGAAATTACTGGTATAAAGTACACATTGTCTCTTCAAATAGGCTTAAACAGAAATATTATTAAGGAAAATGTCCTCATTTCAGCGACCCATACTCTCTTTGGATTGTGTTTCAGACGTGTAAAAGTTAAGACATTTATGAAGTAAAGCATAAATGTTAGTGAAGTTGCACAATCCCGTTAAATGTTCTCCTGAGCACTCTGAAAGAGAAAAGCCACACTTCTAAATGCACACTTTGAGTCCAAATGTCAGTATACAAATGGTCTCAAATCTCTGAGCTGAGTATGGTACTAATGCTGTTAGCTTCTCTGTTAAAACAGCCAGCTGTGACAAACTGCAACAATATGGCTGCTCACAAACAACTTTTACATTAATCATTATGCATATAGTGAACCCCCCACCCATTCACCGGCGTGTACCTATTAGAGTTTGTGTCTGTAGCTCAGTGGAGCAGTAATGGGAACAAATCACTGCGGATGGGTTGCCAACAACGTTTTGTGTTTCTGTCACTCTGTGTTTGTGCTACAGTATTATTACCCACAGTGTGTACATGTTTGTGTCTGTGATGTGGAAGAGTAAGCTTTGGTGTTTTGTTTAATTTGATCATTACATCACCAATACAGCAGAAAGCTCCCACATGTGACTAGTTTTTACCTTTGGGGTGATGATGCCTCAGGAGTAACCAGTGGGTTGCCGGTTAGAAAACCTGCTCCGTACGTCTTGGTCATTGTGTCTTTTGGCAAGACACTTCACCATCCGTGCGTGCTGCTGGTGGTCAGAAGGACGGATGGTGCTGATTGTGCTGTAGCTACAGTGTAGTTTAACACCATTAGTGTGTGAATGTGTGTGTAAATAGATGAATGAGTGGTGTGTTGGTCGCGAGCTTTGGGTAGTGACCGAAAGAATGAGATCGAGGATACAAGCGGCAATGAAAGAGGAATGAGTTTTCCTCACAGGGTGTCTGGGTTCTCTTGTAGAGATAGGGTGAGAAGCTCAATCATCCGGCAGGGCTCGGGAGTGGATCCGCTGCTCCTCCTCATCGAGAGGTGCCAGTTAAGGTGCTTCAGGCATAGGATTAGGGCTGCAACAAACGGTTATTTGGATCATCGATTAATCAGATGGGCTCCGATTAAACGGGAGCATTTAAAACCTCTGAGGAAATTTTTTTTCTCTCCTTCGTTTAATTTAACAACAAAACGTGATTAGAAGGCAGTTCAGTAGCATGCAAAAAAGCATGCTCTCACCTAAATATATCCATAATTAAACTATGATCAGTAAAATGTGATGCATTTCATTAACATGTTCAGTAGTAAGCTACAGGAAATGCTAATAATGTTTCATTTTTACTGCAAAAAGTTTTATGGTGACATATTTATTATGTACGGATTAGCAATAATCCAATTTAAATTATGTTCACAGATAGACGTGTTTGCAGCAGTTCTGCTCCATAGCGCTACAGACAGCTAAGAATAAACAGGATGGTGAGGACCGTTCTTCCGCTTGTCGAGTTTAGATGTTCTTAGTATCACGACCATATCGTGTTTTTTCGGATCCCCACTTGATCATGAGTCTGTTACCCGCTAGCATCAGCTCATCTACCCGTATTTGCGATTTTGATCCCAAACCGTTTTTGCCTTTGTGTCTTTGCTGGTTTCTGTTTTCCTCCACACTACCTAGATTAGCACATTGTGCGTCATTGAGAAATGTTTTGTTCTAAGTGTGGTCATCATCAAAACACCTGCTTTCTCTCGTTTTGATCTGCCTCGGTCTGCTCTGTTGCCTCCTACACAAGCTGCACACATTGACTGTTAAAAAAGTTGCGCTATATGAAAAAAAGTTGCACAACACAACGATGACGAAATGCATTGGCAATGCATTTCGTCATCGATTTTTATCGATTTGTTGTTGCAGCCGTAGTTAAGGTACCTCCTGGATGTCTTCCTGGTGAAGTTTTCTGGGCATGTCCATCTGGAAGGAGACTTAAAGACGACCCAGGGCCCAGGCCCAGGCCTTGGGATTACCCCATAGTAGCTGGCCTAAGTGACTGGGGAGAGGGAAGTCTGGGCCTCCCTGCTTAGGCTACTGCCCCGTGACCCGACTGTGGATGAAAACGGTTGGAAGTATAAGTGTACCTATTTATTATTTTTTTATATAAATATGGTAAACATTTAGTGACGAGCCAGTAAACCAAGTCATGAATCAGCGCAATTGGTGGTTAGCTTGTGGTTCAAAAGACCGATGGTCCATCCATGTCTAACAAATCACCTCTGCCTACAGAGCAGAGAAATTCCACACAGGGATTCAGAAATAGAAAAGAAATGTTTTCTTACCCGTGAAGTACAAACCAAATAGGAGATGGTGTTTACCCCTAAGGGCAGGGATGATGGTAATAATGTGTCTCTGTATGAATGTAAAATGGTTTGTCAGTATTGTGAAAAACTTCTTTCTGTAGTTTGAATTTGTGTGTGTTTGTGTAAGAGTAAAACCTTCAGATTAGAAAAAGTCCAAGTGTGTGAGTCTCCAACAAGCTGTGTCCGATGTCTCGTGACTCTGCAGGAGAAACACCTTAACGCTGAGCTGCATACAAAATCATGGTTCACCGGTTAGCTCCATATTACCGTCACAGGTACCAAGAGTCCTGAACTCCTCCACCTGGGGTAAAGACTTACTTCTAACCTGAAGGGAATTTTGTCCTCAAATATGGAGATGCTAACTTTTTATTACTTTTTATTTAATTGACGTGGTGATCATGCATTGTATTATTTAAAAAAAAACTCTTCTTGACCAATCATATCTAAATCTGAGGATTAACAAGACCCTTTTTAGCAGGAAACATTTCTACCAATGAAAAATCAAAAATGTTTCCTGCCTAATCCCTTGCACATTGGGATGTGTTAAATCTTCTCTGGACTATGGTAAATTTTGGAGGGATTTTCACAGCTCACACCAGGGTGTGATTATTATATAGATTTTTGGATTATCTTTCAGATTCAGTGAAAAGCTGAGGAAGGGATGAAAAGAGTTGTTGTGTTTAGTAGCTTACATCGTCTAGCCATGCTGGCCTAGATCTGTTTATTTTAAATAACTTATTTCCAACAAAAACCATATTGATTTGTGTTTATTTTTTACTGTGTTCTTGTGCTTTTTATGATATATAATAATTTATATAATCTGAGAATCGACTCACCACCTCATGTGCATCCTTCAGGACGGGCTATGAACCACAGACTGAGAATGTGATGATTGCTGCCCCAAGTGTGTCTGGCGTGTCATATGCAGGATAGAAAAAGTCACGACACAGATGACGTGTGGCTGTCAGTCAAGTTGCATCTATATATTTTTGTTTGTCAGATGGTATGATCTGGCAATGACTGTGAAACGAGACTGTAAAGCTCAAGTGAGGAAAAGAAGTGAAAAAGGTTAATGGAGAAGAGGGAGCGGAAGGTTAACAAGTCTAGTCAGAACAAAGATGTTTGTGTGGGCATTAATAACTGAAATCTCTCTGTTTTCACAGTAACTAGAGGAAACTGTGTTTCTGTGTCAGTAGTGATAAATAAGAACTTTAATTGTAAAGCCTGATTCTTTTCAGTATTAATGCAAGACTGGCGTCATGTGCTAATGAGGTGTGTTCTATCAGAGCTGCACAACCTCCACATTTTATTCAAGATGTTCTATGGTGAATATTCATTTTGCTCCAAAGAATACAGTTTGATCACATGCATTATGGAGTGATTGCATTATGCCTTCCCATAAAAGGTTCCATTATTTATAAATTAAAATAAAAACCTGTCTTCCATTTATGTGATTTAATGGACCGAAGGCTTATTTGGGGGATTTAGCTGAAGAGAATAATGGGAAGGAAGACAGAGAGTGCAGAGAAGAAAAGATTGAACCCCTCAGAGAATCCCCATACAATGCGTTCTTATCTTTTCAATGTCACTTTCAGTTTCCTTTTGGAAAATTCCAGACCCTATGCTTCTGCCAAAACTGGTCTCAGTGTGCACAGTAAGGCCCGGTTCACATGGCAAGGTTTTTAAAAACACGAGACCCCACACATGGCGATCGTAAAAATCACATAAATAACACTTTTGGTCTTTATCCAGGTCTGTGTAAGCATCACCAAACGTAGTACACAGCAATTAGCTGCAGCTACTGTATGTTGGATGGGTGCGTTTCCACCAGCCGCAAAGCGGAAAAGTCCCTGAATCGTAGGGACGCGTTGCTCGCTGAATTTTCCTAGTTTTTTTTTTTTTTTTTTACCTCTCTGCTTCCAGAATGTGTCAGGCTCAGCCGTTTAGATGGAGCCAGACAGGAAGTCAAACATGAAAAGTATGTAAAATGTCCAAAAACATTCGAAACAAAAGGCATGTGTAGGTTTTCAGTTGCTTAAAGGTGGGGTTCATTGAAAAAACATGTTTTATTGATTATTTTTTATTACAATCGATCATTCTGAGTTTTTCATGCAGGCTGAACATGAAAATAGTCTGCTACATGTAACTCCTGCATTAGTTTCTGATGGAAAATAGACGGTGAAACTGGATTTCAAGAGCCTGACAGATCTACTTCACACTATGGCACCCATCTTAACTCGCGACGGGGAAGGCTGTTATTGGTTTTGCATCCAGGAAACGACAGAGAACGTCTCGGGTAGTAGAAGCTAACCAGTGGCAGTAGCAGCTCCACCATATGACAGAAATCCTCCAGGTTTGTGGTATTTGTGGAGATATAACATCAAATTGCTGAGCAAACTGACTCATTGAAATCCAGTCAGAGGTGAGATGTCCAAAAATCAGGAAATAAGACTCCAAAACCTGCCGTCTGAAGCTCAGCTGAGATCTGCTAATCTTCTAGTTCCTGGAAATGGTGCACCAGGTTGCCCCTCAAGTACAACTTACAAGGCATCTCTGATTTTGATTATAGCAGTTCAGACATCCTTTGAAGCAGATCGGAGTGCTCTTAACACACCACACAGGGCTTGAATAGTTGATAAGATCTTATTTTTTTCAGACACGTTCTTAGGTTTATTGGAAGGGGAGAATCAGGACAAAAATTGGCATAATTATCTTGCCATGTGAGCAAGAACTAGCCCTGAGAAAACCGTGGTCATTACTCATTTGGTAACATGCTTTTGAATCTAGACGATCATGGTTTTCATTTGTTAGTTAGCTTGCTTAGAGTGATTTTATTTGTACCTTTTTTGGCAATGTTTATTATAAACCTTGACAACAACTTGGAATTAAGGCTGGGCGATATGGCCTAAAATCAATATTACGATATATTGAGGATTTCACCTGAATAACCATAAATGGACGATAACTACAGGTGCGTGCAGAAACAAAAGTTGTCCGCTAGAAGGACGTAATTTCACATTTTTATGTGACTTAAGGTGGTACAGCTTTTTAAAGAGACATGAACATTCCCAACCTACACACATCTTTTCATTTTTTTATTATCAATTTTATTGACACGGGAAAAAAAGAGTCTAAAATTTCTGTAACGATTGCCCTTATTGCCCAGCCCTAATTGGAATTCTTCTTTGTGTAATGATTTAAATTACATGTTATTTAATAAGCCATAAGGCGTAGGATTCCATAGTAAATATGAAATCAACCTTATGGATCTGTGAGGTTATTTTAAACCAGAAGATTGGAACTTTTTATTGCAGGGATTAGGTAACAGCTTCATATTCACTCAGAGACAACAGAAGAGAGAGAGAGTCAAGTTTAAAAGTTTAAAAATGTATTACTAATCAAATTAAACTAGACTAACTTTAAACACTAAATGTATGGTGTGACTAAGGTGGGTGAGACGGTGAATGGGGTGAGGTGTAATGTTGCTCAGAACCAGCAAATCTGAAGAAACGATTAGTTCTGATGGGAACTGAAGGTGATGTCTTCGCATTAAGCTTTGATTAGGAGATTCATAAACACATTCGATGCCATTTGCCGGCCTACATCCCCTTAGCGGAAGTCCCCGTTAGATCAGGAATGTTGAGGTCCAGCTTGACCTTTTCAGGAACCGAAGCCGGTAGGAAAGCAGCGGTTGCCGACCAGACCAGTCTGTGAGATACTCCCGGGTCACGACAATTTTGTTGGCGTCTGGTGAGACCCACCTGGGTCATGATGGTTCAGCTTTTATTCTGAAAGGAACCGTTGCTTGGTTGGTAAAATGCAACAGATTTTATCCAGCTTGTCTTTGGTTCTTTCGGTTGAAGAGGAAAGTTACGAATTGGCCACTTTGACAATTCTCTAGAACGCTTTGAACTGGCGTTAGAGATGACGTGGGCATAGTTTTATCCTTTGGATGTTTCGGTTTATGGTCGAATGAAAAGTTGACAGATTGTACCAAACACCATCAAAACCACGCCTCCGTCAGATCTGGCAGATTCTGATTGGATCAGTGAAAGTAATGTGTCATGTCTTTTAATACTACAGGAAATCTGTCCTGTTGGAACATTTTAAGTCATAGTACCTTTATATTCTATAGGATTATAATAAAGTAATTAATATTTGGATTTCACAGATTGGTCACATCTTATTTATTGACTATCACTTTGCGTGATTAGCTTATTAAAATAGAGTTCTTTGATTAACTAAAAGGAGAGAGTCCTTTCTTCATTCTTCTGTTGAGCTGAAAAGAAGCAGGTTAGAAGCAAATGCATGAGACCTTAAGGCCATATTTCATGCAGACTAGTCTTGTCAGAGGAGATGGGGAAACAGTCATTTCATTCTGTTACATTTGGTAATGTTTTGCAATTCATTCAGTCCTTTACCTGGATTGAGAAGTTTGTATTTTTGGTCAAAAGTTAAACTGTAACGTCTGGATTACTCCATGGAAATTCATTGCCACCCAGCCTGATGATATTTTTTAAGAACTTTTTTTTGGATTTAACTAGTGAGTGGATTTCTGGCTCAAGTGGATTTCAAATACCATTGCATTTTGTTTACACAACAAGGTAAATGAAGCAGTAATGCCAGTGATGTTTTACCAGTCTTATGTGAAAATGAGGTCAAATCTTTAGATTTGTTGAATCCTAGTCTTTGCTTTGACAGATCTATGATGTCCCAAGTTATGTTGTATTACTTAAAAACCTATGTGGATCTTCTAGAACTCAGAATTTAACTAATTCTGATTATTGGATTGAGTTCTGAGAACCTCTGTAACATAAAACAAAATGTATTTCTTCTAGCATTATATGCCAGGCTTTCTCAATTTCTTTATTATATTTTGGTATTGGAAAAGACGGTTTATAGGACTTAGCTTTTCCTGCAACCTATACGAACCCTATCAGAGGTTTATGTGGCTTTACAACAGCTCCACAGCATGGCTCATTAACCAGATAATGTGAGGAGAGGGTGACCCTGCTAACTCACTCTCAGCTCTGATTCCCCTGGGTACCACATCTGCCCTGGCCTTGCAGCGAGGGAACCATTGCTGGGAAATAATGTGTCCAAAATGTTATAGTGTGTCAAAAGGACCATAAATGCTAAACATTTCTATATAAATTCGATTATATGGTTTAAAATCTGATATATGTAATGGCTCATGTTGTGAAGATGTTTGTGTCGCATCCAAATGGATTCAATAAAACTATATTGGGATGAAAATGGGCATTTTGACGACACATTTTCAGACATGCACAACGGTTGTCTAGATGTGTTGATAAATGTGTTGCGTTGGCAGGCTGAGATGGCTGAATGATGAATGATGACTGAACCCATATGTACACACTCCTACAGGTATTCAGATGATATGTGTGGGCTGCAATTATGTAGGTGGCTGTTCATCATTTCCACATTGTTCTGTTGGCTCGTCTAACAAGGATTCACTTTGTATGTTTGTGTGTCTCAGAGGCGATTTTCCAGACTCATGGTGCATTCTTTTTGCTCTCAACAACTAATGTTTATGCCTTTTTGTTCCAAAAATACTACATTTATCAGAATGCTAAAGGGAACTGGACAATTGTTTATGTTTTCCAAATAATATTAGTAATTCTCTAGTTATTTGTAGCAGGTGGGAGGTTCGTTAAACAGGTTATGTCTGTGCATCTTGTTCTAGTTTTGTTTTGTAGATCCAGATTCACAGTTTTATTACTTTGACTACAGACTATAGGAAGTCATAGTCACTTCCGCATCATGGGTCCACGGAAAAACGAAAAAATGAATACAAGTCAACCGGGCTAAAAACGCTATTTTCTAATCCGCTTTGCCTTACGCCCTGGATCGCACACATATGTTGTACTGAAATTTAAATGAAAAGTAATGATGGGTGTTTCGACCACGCCAGTCACGTACTTTGAGATTTATTAGCTTGTAAAAGTTCGTAATTAGCATGACTACAAACTTGAAATCGGCACGTCTCATATGTGACGTCACCACATAATCTCCTCTCCCCTAATGTAGCTGCTACTTACCAAATGACCAGATTTATGGTGGTTCTTTCCTCCTGTGGGAAGTTTGCTGAACTTACAGCCATTTTACCTCAGTTTTCTCCATGTCTGGTTCGATGATGTCACTTTCGTGAAACGCAGTTGGACTTATTTTCACACAAAACCTACAATATTATTCCCCCCGTTCAAAAATAAGCACGTTCTTGGTATCAAAATGCTTCTTTCAAATTTGTTACACAGTGAAGTGTAGTGAGGACAAAAGAGACATGATGACTTGGTTGATGAACAAGGGAAACCAGTTTAATTTCCTCTGGTCAAAAAAAAAAAACAGAAAATCCAGCCGTCTTCAAAATGGCCACCCATCCATCCCTCCTCAGTCAATTTCAGAGAGAGATTAAACTGGTTTTCCTTGTTCATCAACCAAGTCATCATGTCGCTTTTGTCCTCACTACACTTCACTGTGTAACAGTGGTGTCAGAAGTGGGATAAGAAATGAGAGGATGTGGAAGAACCTGTGGGACAAGGAAAAGCCCTCTTGATTACATGGAGGAAACAGAAGGTCGAACAATGGAGCTAGATACACCTCCTGAAGGATCCACAGGTGTTGACGAGGATTTTGAACCAGTGGTACGGCCTAAGCAGACTACAGTTGGTACTGTGAGTAAAGAACTTTCTGAACTTGACATATTTGATGAAATGAGAGAGTTAATCAGAATCAGAATAGGTTTATTGCCATTGTCAGTGAACCAACAATTCACAAACTAGGAACTTGCTTCAGTACTAATGTGCTACATATAACATGAATAATAAGATTAAAAACAGAATAAAATAGAATAAAAAAACTAGAATAAAACTTTCAGCGATAAAAAATGGCAGGTAATGGTAACATGGCCGATGCGGCGTTCAAAGCGAACTGAAGCCATACTGTTTGAGCAGATTAAACAGTTGAGCAGTACCATACCAAAGCTGCAGCATGAGTTATATTCTGAACTTTCTGAGCCTTATGTCCAGACTGATACTTCTACAACAGCAGCTTTTCCAAAGCAAGAGGTCCAAATGCCTCAGGCGTCAGAAGGAGAGCCACCTCAAGGACACCCAGCTAATCCTCATTCTCCTTTACGACTGTCTGCACCACCTCAGCTGCAGCTGGCACAAAGCGTTCCAGCACAAAGGGTTGGCAGGATCCATGGAGGTGAACCTAGATTACCTGACTTCAAGGAAGGTGAGGATCCTGAGAGCTCCTTTGTACGATTTGAGCGCATGGCTAAGACATGGGGATGGCTACCAGCTGAATGGGCTGTTAGAGTGGTCACATTGTTGACTGGAAAAGCTCTTGAGGCTTATGCTGGTATGGATGAAGATCAGTCTGACTCATATCATGCTATTAAAGCTGCTGTGTTGTCTAAGTTCAACGTGACAGAAGAGACTTACAGGTACCGGTTCCGAAGCACCAGTGTACCCGTGGGAGAGACTGTACGGGAAACCTACAATCGCATAAAGGGACTCTACAAGCGATGGATGCGGCCGGACAGTCGGAGTAAGGAGGAGATTGGAGAAACTATCATCTTGGAGCAGTATCTGCGTGTACTTCAGCCAGACGTCCGCACCTGGGTGAAGGAGAACAATCCCAGGACAGGAGAGGAAGCAGCAAATCTGGCTGAACGTTACCTAGCTGCTCACCAGGAACCAGCAAAGTCAAGGACTGCTGTGGGACGACCAAGGTTTGGGGAGGTAAAACCTCCAGGTATACCTAGTGTTGAAAGCTTGGGAATTAAAGGTGGTAAAAAGCAAATTTATTCCAGTTTGAAGTTTAACCTAATCTGTTATCACTGTCAGCAGCCTGGTCACAAAGCTTCTTTGTGTCCACTAAGAAAACCTAAAATGGTAGAGCTATGTGTGGTACCTGCCAAAGAACATGGTCAGGAACTGTCTGATAGTTTGATTCCACATAAGCATGTGGTGGAGGTAAAAGTAAATGGCAGAGCATTAAAGGCTCTAGCAGACACTGGTAGTTCACAAACGTTGGTAAAATCTTCTATGTTGAACAATGTACTGCCTGACTTTAACAGACCTGTAAACATTACCTGTGTTCATGGATGTCAGAAAGATTATCCAACTGCAGATGTTACCATAGAAGTAGAGGGCCAAGCCTTTATGTTAACTGTTGGGGTTTTCAATCAGTTAGCATAGTGATGTAGTTCTTGGGCAAGACTTGCCAATCTTAGACAGCTTGGTTCAACAAAACTCTGTGGCATTATCTTGTGCAGTCGTTACTAGATCTATGAAAAAAGGTTTAGAACCACTCCCAGATGCAGAGGACAATTTGTATGAAGGTGGGAGTAAAACCAGGAAAGCAAAACGACAAAGAAGACAGGAGAAAAACAAGTACAAGTGTATGTCAAAACTTGCTGAACCTGTTTTGCCTATCACCCCACCTATTGATCGTCGGTGGCAGATCCCCAATAACTTTAAAGAGAGCCAAGAAAATGATCCATCTTTAAAACCTCTTTTACTCAAAGCACATGAAGTTGATGGTGAAGAAAATGTTGGGGGGGGGGGGGGGGGGGTGTCAAAAGTTTAGATGGAGAACCTTTTATCATGAAGGATAAGCTGTTGTATCTTGCTGATATTGAAGAACCCAGACTGGTGGTGCCTGAAGAGTACCTGTGCCGTAACCCTACATTTGGGTCATACTGTACCCTGGTCGGGACATCTAGGACAGTCAAAAACATACAATCGTGTTGCACAACGGTTCTATTGGCCAGGAAAACCTGTCATGACTGCCAACTAGTTGCTCCCACCAAAGTGTCAGACAGAGCCCAGTTACAAAGTTTACCAATAATGGATGTACCTTACAAGAGAATAGCCATGGATGTCATCGGTCCATTACCCAAGAGCAGTAGTGGGCATAAATAGACATTAGTCATTTGTGATTATGCAACCAGATACCCAGATATTTATCCATTACGTTCCCCTCAGGTCAAACACATTGTCCAGTGTTTGGTAGATCTTTTTTCCAGAGTTGGCATCCCAGAGGAAATTAAACTGGTTTTCCTTGTTCATCAACCAAGTCATCATGTCTCTTTTGTCCTCACTACACTTCACTGTGTAACAAAATTCACGGACATCATGTGTGAAATCCATGGCAGAAAACAAGCGGAATTAGAAAATAGCGTTTTTAACCCCGTTGACTTGCATTCATTTTTTCATTCTTGCGGGGACCCATGATGCGGAATTGACTTAGGCTCCTATAGATTTAGAATTGACCATTAACTCATTCACTGCCATCCGTTTTCTGATCAGAAAACCTCTGATTGCCAGCGTTTTTGAGTGTTTTTACTGTTTTTGAAGAGTCACAGAATATTGTGCTCTATGATCATGTAAACACCAAAACTACGAAAAGAAAGTGTAGACTCACTTCTTACATCATGAAGAATCGGTGTGTTTGTAATGTTTCCATTCTTTCACAATCTGTTGTCGATGTGTGAGCAGCAGAAGCTTTTCAAGTTAACACCTCGCTTTTTTCACAGCAGCGTCCCAAAGCGATTTTCTAATTCATGGATTTTCTGCTTCCTGATCACGTGACATTTGACACACACGGGTGAAGGTCCGATTTAGAGTCGTGATGTTTACTCTCACGTTGCAGGGGCACATTCCCAGGCCCGCCCCATTTAAAAAATGCTATTGGCAACTTTAGTCATCTAGAGAGAAAAAAAATCTGTTTTGATTCTGATAGACATTTCATTGCGTCACCTGAGTGTTTGAATCTTGATTGTTTTTGTCACATAGCTTACCATCACTGGCAGTGTGTGAATGTGAGAGTGCATGCAAGCCTCTTTCAGTGTCCTAAAAAATGCTATATAAGTTTGATGGTTATTATCATTATTAGTGTCCCGATTGGCTACCTGAAACATAGCCTCATCTGGACTTGGTCTAACTAATACTAATAGTTAGTATTAGTCATCTCCATCTAAGTTATGGTTTAGAAATCTTTGAAAGTCCCGGATTGAAAGTTTCCCAGCTCAGCGGAGCCTGAAATTGGCTTAAATGGAGGGGAAAGTAGTGGCAGGTCACCTGAATGGGTCTCAAGGAAAAACACATTAGTCTTGCTTCCATTGTTACACGGCTGTACACTAAATCTCATCTGCAGCAGGCCAAGATGATGCTTGGATTTATCAGCTGTTTACTGTGGCAAATTTTAAAATACAGATCACAAGTTCTGACAAAAGACTGACTTGTTTAATAAAAAAAGTTTTAGCTTCTTTTCAAACAGTATCTGTACAGTTTTAGACAACGTGGAAGAAAACACTCTCCTGCTGGGGGTGGATCATTGGTTGGGTTAATTGGGACAGCAGTAGCTCAGGTCCTTTTGGATCGTAGTTCATCGTAAATATTAATTTATGTTCTTAGACTCAGCAGATTTTTACTTGCTTTCATTCTAACTTGATTTTAGAATTAATCTTTTGTTTAAAGGGACTTTACGGAGTTTTGAATTTTTATGCTCGCGATTGCCCCCTCAGGCCAAAAGCGTAATGGCAGCTTCAATAGTAGGCTCGTGCACGAGGTGCGCATGCTGTACGTGCACACTCCTTAACGAAAATAAGTGCTGAGACAGTCCCTTATGTGTGTGTGTTTGTGGCCTGGAGGACAGAGGACAGGAGAATGTGCAGCTAATTAATTAAATAATTTGGTTCTGTACCTTTCTCTTCAGCAGAGCCGACAAAGGTTTATGATGGGTCAGTCTTCCTGCATGCTCAGATCATTCCCTTCCCTTGCTTGAAAAATTGTTCCAAAATGAAAGTTGAACCCACATCTTTTGTATCTGCAAATTCAATGCCGTTCGGCGGTCTCAAATAAAAATTTAGGCATCTTACTGTAAAAAAAATACCATTAATGTAAAAAATAAACTCTAAACAAACTATGTTCACATCGAGAATCGAACCCAGGTCTCCCTGCACAAGAGACCATTGTCTTGTTAGATGAGCTAAAGCACCGGTGATGTCTTTTGTATCTGTAATATTTATATCCTTGATGACAGCTGAAACAACGTTCGGAGAACGGTTCGGAGTGAAAATGGCTATTTTGTTGCTAATTTGCAGGAAATATTTAGAAGAAAGTAGCTAAGGGTCCTCAGAAATGTAGCTAGGTTCATCACTAGGCTTTAGGAATAGCGACAAAGTCGCTGAGTTGGCACTACCTCTCTCTCTGCTGCTAAAGCTACGGATAGCAAATGCTACAGGCTATGCCTGAGCGTGAACGCGCATGAAGCAGCCTGCTCAACCCGAGCAGCTCTCTTTTTCTGTGATTTTACAGAAAAATAGGCATTCACAGTAAAAATGCCAGGGCTCATTCTACAGGACCAGGGCATTGCAGGAGAATGTATGAAGAAGAAATTTATTATTTCTATACATGTTTTGGCTGTCAAACTTCCATAACGTCCCTTTAAGCTCCTCGGTTACATGTGCTATTGTTTGTTTGTGTTCTGTATTGATTATTTCTATTGATCTAAACCAAAGGTCAGTTGCTTTAGCATTTACTGGTAATGACAAATCACTTTTTTTTCACCAGTTGAATCTTTAGTCTGATGGTGTCTGTAACTGGAGAGCTGCTACAGCTGATTAACAGCTCTTGAATTCGCATCTGAACAAGCCGCATTTTAATCACATGAAACTGTTTTTCATTCATAGTAGAAATAATTCATTTCTGTTAACAAATCTATCATTCTTTTCATATTTTCTTCCAAATCAGATTAGGTATATCCTCAGCAATGTAGTAAGTAACACATTAGTTGTATGATTATTGGGAAGAAATAAGTATAGAATGGAGTTTGGTACAGCTGTGGCTACTGTGTAGCTCAGCACATGGGTGTGAATGTTTGTGTGAATTGGGGGAATAACTGACTGTGTTGTAAAGCACCTTGGGGGTTCCAGACTCTAGAAGGCGCTATCAATGGTGCCCCCAAGGGGTGGCCATGGCCACCCAATTGCCGTCACCCCCTCAGCAAAAGCTGCGCTAATAAATCATATTAATGTTCCCTCAAACCATAAATTGATCTTATTTATTCAAGACATAATTGTAAAAAAAAATAAAAAATATACAATTAATGAGTTGCCAAATACGGCTGCGCAGTGGCGCAGTAGTTAGAGCTGTTGCCTTGCAGCAAGAAGGTTCTGGGTTTGCTTTAGGGATGGGTACCGATTTCGATAATTTTTAAGGCACCGACCAAATTCCAAAGTACCTACTGAGTACCGATTCACATAATATGAAACTGTGCCTTGTTTCGATACTCGTGCCGCATGCCTGGTGCAAGAGCGTATCTTGTCACTGTGGGTGTAAATAAAGCAGCACGGCAGAGAGGAAACATTCTGAAGTTTGTGTTGTCGTCATCTTCCTCCACTTATCTGGGTCCGGGTCGTAGGGGCAGCATCCCAACTAGGGAGTTCAGACCGTCCTCTCCCCAGCCTTCTCCACCAGCTCCTCCGGAAGGGCCCTTAAGGCGTTCCCGGACCAGATTGGAGATGTAACCTCTCCAACGTGTCCTGGGTCGACCCGGGGGCGTCCAGGAGGCATCCTGACCAGATGCCCAAACCAACTCAACTGACTCCTCTTGATCCGGAGGAGCAGCTGTAAAGGCCAATTAGCTCGTGGAACATTGTTCAGGATGACTCTTTTTACCTATTTTATCACAAATCTGTTTATGCTTTGGCTGCTGAAAGGCAAATGACTGTGTGTGTGTGTGTGTGTGTGTGTGTGTGTGTGTGTGTGTATGTGCTTGTGCGTGCAGGAGTGTGTGTGTGCATGTGTGTGCAGGAGTGTGTGTGTTTATGTGCGTGCGTGTGTGTGTGTGTGTGCATGTGCGTGTGTGTGCATGTGCGTTCATGTGTTTGTGTGTAAGTGCGTGCATCTGTTTGAGTGCGTTTGCGCGTGTGTGTGTGCATGTGTTTTTGTGTGAGTGCGGGAGTAAGTGCGTGCCTGTGTGTGTGTGTATGTGTATGCATGTACGTGCCTGCCTGTGTGTGTGTGTATGTGTATGCATGTACGTGCGTGCCTGCGTGTTTGTGTGTGTGCGCGCGCGTGCATGCATGTGTGTGTGTGTGTGTTTGTGTGTGTGCGGGAGTGTTTGTGTGTATGTGTGTGCGTGCGTGCCTGTGTTTGCATTTAGTTTTCTGTTGTCAGAGCATCTCTAACTTGATGGATTTTACTGAAAGGAACCATTGCATGTAACTTTTGCAGCCAACCATATTCAAAATGGCCATCACAGATAATTAACCTTATTATAAACAAAAATGGCAATAACTCCATTCATGTTTTACATAATCATCTGGAATTTGTCGCTTTAGTAGTCATGCTCCGCACATGCACTTGAGTACCAACTGGTTTCATGAGATCTCATAAAATGACATGAAATTTTATTCAATGTTTTTTAAAGTCTCTGGACATAAAGGCTAAAAACATAATTTCTCTACAGATGATGCTAGTAAACCTCTTGCAGAACAGGTATTTGGTAATATGTGTGCCTTCAAGGCTATCTCAGAAGCTAATGTTAAAGAGTTTGCCTTTATTAGCTAACTTTTCTCCACACTGATGGAGAATCTGGTGGTAAATCAAATTTGTAACTCCCATTTCTCATTATTTCACAAATATTCCAACAGCACTCCTTTACTGACCCAAGTTTAGCTTCTATTCCTATCTCCTTCTACCTTGTCAGGATCTGAGGAGCCACAATATAGGCAGGAATCTTAGGCAAGCAGATGCTACTGCATAATTCCATCTTCACAGTGTGCCACTCACCCACTCAGCTCCCACATTTTACTCTGCTAGAAATGAAAATCCAGATTTTCTCCTCCCCTAAACCATCACAGACATTATTCTAGCATACAACATAATCGATGCATGTTTTTGTTTTTAGGCAAATAAAAAAAACATCTATAAAGTCCAGTTAAAATGCATTTAACAGCATTCACCTTGTCTGAATTAGCATGTGTGCATCATTATTTCAAATACAAATGCCCTCCAGGTCTAATCTGCAATGCATCTGAGATTATCTCACCCAATCTGAACACACCTGCAAGATCATTTCAATCAGCCATATGTAATTAAATAGAAACAATTGGTTCCATTATTGTTGTCATCTCTTTTTATTTCTGCCATTGTGTGTCACGGTGCTTAAGCCTGCACACACGCACGTTTTTCTGTCGCCTTCCTTTCTGTTCTCCATTAACCACTTCAAAGTAATTTCTTCTTTTTTTTTCTTTTGTTTCCATCGTCCTCCTTTTATAAAAAGTAAGTAGGATCTGATTATAAATGTGGTTCTCTGTATTTGTGTGTGATATGTGTGTTGTAGGTAAATGAAATGTTTTGCTGCCCTCATCAGGCAGGAAAACAAAGCTGCACTCTTTAAGCCGAGATCCACACTTTCCTTATTTCTTTTGGCAGGATCAGATTTATTGTATGTTCTTCATCCATATGTCTCAAGGGGTTGTCTTGGAGTTGTTCCAAATCTTTCCAAAATCCCAAACTCCCCCACTCTCCCATCCCCCAAGGAACCCCATTTCCTTGTATCCCACCTAAAGTCCTCACTTCTTCTTTGTTGTTGCCTAATCCAGATTAAATCCAGGCTATCATTCGCTCTAAACGTGTACTCTCCTCCTTCCTCTGCTAGCTCAAGCAAAGTGAAGCCAATGCTGACACTAAAGAGAAGCTCCCTCTACGGCTCAGGATCTTTGAAAAGTTCCCCAACAGACCTCAAATGGTGAAGATCTCCAAGCTCCCATCTGATTTCACCGTTCCCAGAATCAGGTTGGTCATCACTTAGCCAGTGTTTCAGTATTTTGATCAGCTGTCATAGTTAATAAAGAAGCTTCAACAATCTCAAATTACAACAATGTGAACGGAAACACTTCGAAAGGAAAACATTCAGATGACTTGTTGCTGAATCACCACAAACGTATGCATTAAATATTTAAAGGCACTGGAATGCTGCAACCCCTTTTAAGCTCCATTAATTTTAATTATGCAATTCAAAGAAAAACAACAGTACAATGTTTAATTGATTTTGCATGAGGGCCCTTTTGTTATCCAGCTTTTAGTTGGAAACCTGATTTGTATCCTGCACAATGAAACTTGTATATTTTGTTGATGATTAGTGCACACCAACATCTTCTGCTGCTTCAGTATCCCTCTCTGCAGCACCACACTTCTACTGATTCTGCATTTAATTTCACACCGATGCAATTAATTGTTGCATTGCTTCTGCAAATGGATTTCCTAAATAGTAAATCATACAGGAAACTGTGTGTGTGTGTGTGTGTGTGTGTGTGTGTGCGTGTGCGTGTGCGTGTGCGGTGCGTGCGTGCGTACGTTCGTGTGTGTGTGTGTGTTATTTCCAGAGAAAGTTTCATGAAGCAATTTATTGACCGTCAGCAGCTGGATAACAACTGCTTGTTCCGACGTCTTCCCTCTGCCTCATCCTCCTCATGTGATCACGCCAAACGATCAGCCATTGAGGACAACAAGTACATCGACCAAAAGGTACTTACACAAATGACTTTTCTTACTCATTTGCTCAATAAAGTTCTTGTTTATTCCTCTTGCACTCACTAATTCAGCAGATGAACCACAGCAATCTACAGCAACTATGGTTTTGCTTCATTTTGATGGCAACAATTAGTGAAACTTTAGCTAACGAAATCTCACAATTTGCCCTTTCAGCTTCGCAGGTCAATATTTAGCAATCGAGCACGCAACCTCCTGGAAAAAGAGACAACAATCAATAAAATTCTCCGGTAAGACTCATCCTTACCTCATCAGTTAAAAAGGTTTTTGGTGTGTTGTCGTGTTGCTTTAGTTAACAGTACAATATGTCAGAATTTTACAGAGAAATAATCAGGAAACAGTCTAACGTTTCAGTCATGTTGGAAGGAAGGTTGCAGATTGAAACAGATTACCTTGTCAGCTGGTGGGAAGGTTGTCTCCTTTTTTAAATGGCCAAAGAGGGATGTAGTGTTTGTTTACAATCTGCGAGCCTGTGTATTAAATGTAGTTTAAATTACATTTAATGGAACTCTATTCTGTATTCCTGTAAAATCACAGAAATAGCATGTTTGGGTCGAACAAGCCTGCTTCCCCAGTGCCTTTCACAAGCAATGTCATGCGTGATGACGTCATGTGCGTTCACGCTCAGGCATAGTCCATAGCGTTTGCTCGTTAAAGTTCACTGCCCCCACAGATCACAACTACACAGCATTAATGTCAGTATATCGGTAATCGGCCATAAAAGTGATATTAATATCGGATATTGGTATTGGCCCATAAATTTCACATTGGTTTCTCACTAGTTTGTACCATGCATTACTACCCAGAAAGTATTTCTTGAATCCCCAAGAAGCCACGGCATTTTTTTTGTTTTAGTCTAACATCGGGTAAAGAAGGCTAGAGGCGAACCTTGATGTAACAATTCTAACGGTGAATTAGAAACAAATAGTTGACTCAAAATATCTCAAGCTGTTTTTTCGATTGCCAACGACTCAATAGTACAGTAAAATGTGCTTATCTACTTACTTACAACTTACTGTGTTATACTTATTTTTGCTTGTCATCTAGAATCTTCTGGCGCTGAGCCGCAACCAACAACAGCCGTGAAACTCAGAACGGGAGTGAAAAAGTCATTTATGTTTAGAAAATGGGCTGTAGTACCCAGATTTGACCACAAGATGTCATTCTTCATTCTTGCATAATGAACCTTTTAACATGTAAGCTTTTATCTTGCACAAAATGTTAATTTAGTGGTAGATTATAATGTTATTTTTTTTCTTTTTTTCTGTATATTTGTCAGCAAAATAACTTGTGAAGCTGGATTCATTTTTATAAAACTTTGAGAAAATGATCTTTTGAGGCATGTTTAAAACTGAGTGCTTTTGCATGGTGTAAAACAGCTATCAAAAGGTGCAAAATCAGGGTTCGATTACTCCTCTCTCATAGCATTGCAACATTTGTCTACTTATACCCACAGACTGAAATTCATGTTCACAGCAGTGAAGAATTCAAAGTCATAGAAACGAGACTTGTGTGAAAAAGACTTTGCACTCACAGCTTTAAGATGATACTCACATAAAAGCAATCATAACGTGATCAATTTCTCAAACTCCTGTTTATGGGCTGACCGATGTATCAACCTGATATTTACCACTTTTATTCATCAGCATTGGCCGACATTTGTCCTCAGTAAAGCTCATTTAAAGTCAGGAGCATCCTCGGGCAGCCCGGTGCTACTGCAGAATTTAATTTAAATTTTATGTTCACTAATAACATCTGGACAGTTAAACCATAGCTGTCTGATTTTTAACACTGAGCAGTTCACAAAATGAAGACTTAACAGTTAGTTAAATTCAGAGTTCAAAACTGATTCAGCTTCAGAAATTTTGTGCATCAACTGATGTTATTAGTGACATTTTAGCATGAAAATAAAGTTTAAAAAATCTAGATATTGGCCACCTACATAGCTGCATTGGTATCGGCAATAGAAAAACCAATATTGTTGACCTCTACTCACGTTTATGATGAAGGGAGCGTGCACTTTAGTGGTTCCGTTAGAATACGCTGCTTTTTCAGGGAGGTTGAGGCCGCGGTGAGTTTTATTGTACAGACCCTGGTTTGGACTCCCTAATTAGAACTCGTTTTCTATCTTAAGGTGGAATGGAGATTGCCGTACTTGTTTTCCTGTGACAGCACACTTTCCTTTTTAATTTCCCGTTATTCAGTGGTCTTGAATACTAGGGGCGAAAGTTTACTGGAGGCCAACACAGCTGACTTTTATTTGGGTCCTATCAGGATTAATTTGTGCCTCTGTCAGCATATGTGGGCGGTGGTAACTAGAAAATGATTCCCGTTAGTTGATCAGGCTAACATGGATTTATCAATTAATCTAATTAATCCACCCTTTGAAATGGTTCCTTCCCACGCTAAACAGAGACTTTTTCACACGTGCAGAACAGAGCCTGTTTGAACCAACTAACCATTATGGTTTATAACTCTTAGGATGTCCCGCTACAATAGGGAGGAGGAGAGACTAGCTCCCATTACCTAAGGTATCTTTTCTTATCTGTCACAACCTGAAACAAGTCCTGATGTACAGGTACAAGCAAAAAGGTGGCTTACCTTTGCTACCAGATCTGGTCGGGGCTCCCACTCAAAGGCTAAGAGTCCTTTAAGAATCCAGAATGAGGATTTTTTCCAAAAAGTTTATTTCAAAATTAAAAAATACAAAAAGAGTAAATCTAAAGTTAAAAAATCCCCTTAGGAGGATGCTGCTTCTAAATCTCTCTCAGAGAACAACTGCTCTCACCCACACTACTCCTGTCTAGCTCTCTAACAGCAACAACGGTCAACTGTCCAACTCCAACTCTCTCTTAACTACTTCTAACTGCTCTTTATATATCATTCTAAAAACTGCAAAGCAAAACATTTTCCATAGTGAAGCAATATATCAACCAGTCACGAGACAGCCAAACAATGTGATCATTTGTCAGTTACATATATCTTTTTATCACAAGACAGCAAAACAATGAGATCATTTGTCAGTTGTAAGATGGTTTCAGGTTCACCCAAAGACCAACCCCCCCCCACAGAAGACTTTCACTTCCTGAGATGTCTCTTCAGTTGGTCCTCTTCTGTCCCTCATCCTGTGCTACTTCCTTTCAGTTGGACCACTCCTCTTTATCACCTGCCTGATTCCACTCGCATCAGCAGGCTCTCGCTTATCTTTGCTTTCCTTGTGACCTCTTTTATTACCTCCATTGTTTCTGGCATACGAGAGCTTGCAACAATGAGTAACGTTTAATTTGAGTTTACAGTACTTTAATTGCTGCACACGTCTTTTTGTTGCACCATACTTTTGAGTCAACTTAATTCAAGACGGTCATCACTTATTGAAAACAAATTCTGGAATACCCCAGTCAGCTACAATCTGGTGTGTTAAAAGCTGAGAAATAATCAAAGTGCGAATTGATCACCCGAAGTCTTCATCCAAAACAATACCATTAACTTTTGTAAACACATCTGCATGCAAATGCTCTGATGAGCCACTGGACCAATTTGATTGGAACATCTAGGACATATTTATTACAGTACACATGTCTCTATAATTGATTCATATTTGTAGGTAGAATTAGGGTTAGAAGTGAAACAAGAGAGACCAACATGGATTTTGCTTTTAAGTTTTCATGATTTGACCAAAATGGGATGAGATTGTTTTATTTTAAAACTCTGACATGATATGCATTCCTTCTAAGATCATTAGACCTTTAAATGTATCAAGATTTTTATTTATTATATGAAATGTTTGCTAAAGTTGAGATGTGCAATTATTTTAATAAATATTTTCAATTTTTTTCTTATTGATCAAAATATTATGCCAGTTTGACTTGGGTTAACATCAAATGCTGCATAAATATTTAGTTTGTTTTGAATAAAACTCTGTAAATGTACCAATAATGTTGTCTGTGTGGGCGTGACAAGCTACCGATGGGTAAAGAAAAATAAGTTAGATACAAAGGTTAAAGGTCCAAATGACTCATTTTGTATATTTTTGAAAACAAAGTGATGCACTGATGAGCTCAGCAGCAGAAAAAAAGCCTGTAAAGCACTTAGAATGCAGCAGGTGCATCATTAATTTCATTAAAATCAGCTGTCAAGAGGCTCCTTCATTATTGTAAATACAGTTTATCTCACATGCAGATCACTGTTAGCGCTGAAGTTTACACCTTTCTAAGTTTACCAGAAAACATAAACACATCTCTTGGTTACTTTTAGAGCAATGCTTACTGCTAAGACTGAGTCAGTAAAGATGAAGATGACAAACACATAAAAATATATGAATGATAAGCTAGTCAATCCCTGGGCTGTGACTGTCGATGACTATGGGGAGAAAATGCAAGATTTCAGTTGTACTCCTAATGAATTGGTACGACCTAAACTTTGACATGACTGTAAACAAATTAAAACATTTGTTGCAAGATTCTCTTTACAATTTAGTCACAAGGGGCCTTAATTATGTCCTAATTTGTTTGCAATTTTGCTACATTTTAGTTGCTCGTGCACACTTTTTGATGCCGTAAAACAAACTTAAGACTCAAGAAGAGGTTCCTGACAATGTTCTGCAACTTCTATTAGAGATGCATTTTTAAAAACATTGAAATTGAAAGCCATTGCAAACAATGAGACAGGCTACAAACTTGGTTGCAAATGCTGTTTGCAGTTTGTTTCCAACAATCACAGTCCAGTGAAAGACTGACGTTATAGACCTGGCTTGTCGCTGTCATCACTGACTTTCAAATCACTTTAGTTTCAGTTGGTTATATAAAAAAGGTACCACACAGTTCATCTGTTTATCCAAATCCCATGTGCCTATATATCCGGCAGGGCCCTGGGAGTCAAATGACATTTGCTCTAATTGAGATGCCACATTTACATTGCCACATAATCACTTTCCCTCTGGGATTAATAAAGTATTTTTGAATTGAATTGAATTGAATTTACGCATCAAGATTTTTCTTGTTCTAAAACATAACCAAATCATTTATACCATTATTTACCTGAACACAGTGAAGATCCATCCAGCATTTTACCTCTTTAGGACAATTTGAGATGGATACAACATTTTGGTTTCACAGGATTCAAGGACAGATACATCTGTTTATCATCTGCATATCGATGAAATCCTCTTGATCAAGCCAATGTTTTTATGGGTAAAGCCCATTAAGTGTGTATTTTATACATAAGACTTCTGCAACAGCAGCTCTTAGTGTTCTAGAACCTACCTCATCTACACATAACTATGCATGTGCACACACACACACACACACACTCACACACACACAAGCACGCACAGCTACACTTCAGACTCATTTACTGCTGTGAAAAAAGTAAATGGATAATTCGCTGTTCAGCATGGCAGAGCTGGCACTAAGTGCAGATTAGATTGCAAACACCGTGTCCAATCTGTTCCCCTCCCAATCCAACCCCCCGTGCTCTGTTTGTCTGACAGATAGGCAGCAGATCAGCAGTCATAACACGTTCTGTCTGGTCTGCCGTATTCCACGCAAGCACGCAATTAGGCCCAAACACAGACTCTCCACCAATGGCAGCCGTTTCTGTGTACTTATTATCAATGAACATGCAATCGCTCAGAGGTGCCATAAATTATTAAAGTGTGCACACTGCTGGTGTCATTAGTTGTGTTGTGGTACACAACTCTGCTGTTAGACGGAATAGACAGGAATGCTCACACAACACACACACACACACGCACACACCACATACACACACACACACACACACACACACACACACACACACACACACACACACACACACACACACACTCACACTTTCAGGCGTATGGAACAATTGGAGCCTGTTCTGCAGCAACAGATTTGTTCACTAATCTTACGGGGTCAAAATGATATAGGCTGAAGGTAGTTTGTGTGATAGGATAATTGACCAGATCCACATGGGCCACAGGGTCAAGGTGTTCTCAAACTGATTGTTTTTGTTTAACTGTTGTTGGATTGAACAAAAAGTATTAAGTACCATGTTTCACAGGGCTTGCACCACACAGCGAGTGCAGAGTGGGTCCTTTGAAGGCCAGCCAGCCAAAGAACGTTCCATTCTCAGTGTGCAACACCATATACGGCAAGAACGCAGGTGCAGTAAAATACATACACAAGCACATTAACAGAGCTAACTGCTTATTTTCATGGTGTGTTTTAAGAAACAAATGTATTTTAATGTTTCTACAGATCCCTGCGACATGGCTCCACTAGTCAGAGGATCAGTCGAGGCAAGTCGTTAGAGACTCTCACACAGGATGTAAGTGCAAAGTGTGGGTGCACCAATCAGATTAGCTGTATAAATTTCTTCACTTATGTATGTTTAAATATCATATCCATTATTGTCTTACATCCCAGCATTCCAGCACAGTGCGCTACCGCAACTCCCAGAGAGAAGACAGTGAGATAAAAATGATACAAGAAAAGAAAGAACAAGCAGAAATGAAAAGGTGTTTGATTTGGGATTTATAGTTTAAGGTTTCATTCTTGGTTTTGTTTTGACTGTTTTACTGATGTGCAGTAACCATTTCTCTTTGTATGACTGAGCAGAAAAGTTCAGGAGGAGGATCTGAGAGAGAACCATCCTTACTTTGATAAGCCTCTTTTCATCGTGGGTCGTGAGCATCGTTTTCGAAACTTCTGCAGGGTGATCGTTCGCGCTCGCTTCAATGCGTACGACTTATCCAAAATAATATAACTTATACTGAATGGTCTCCTCACACTGGGTAAAGTATGACATTTGTGCATCATCTCTAAAATGCTGTTTTATTTTGTTCTGTCTCAGATCTAAAACTGACCCAACAAGAGCGGTGAAGAACACCAAGTACCACCAGCTCTAGTAAGTGTGGGTTAATTATTGATTTTTGCATTTTTAATCAGTCTGTCCATTCTTCTTGTTTAATCGATTGTATTGCTTTCCCCAAATGTGGTCAGGACTTGTGAAATGTTGTGGAATTCATATCACCCATTAAAAATACAAATTCAGGCCAGCAGAAGGAAATATTTTTACTTTTAGAAGAATTATCTTTTTATTAGAAACCTCATTCCCTTTGTTATAAGCCTAGGACACACCAGAACCAGATGTGTCGCGCCTACGCCGTGCCCACACTGTAATTTTAAAGAGCAAGTCACTTCCAAATCAACTTTTTTATGCTGATAAACTATATAAACGAGTGTCTAACCATGCTCCAGACACATGCCGTCAATAATTTGGCACTTTAGTGCATCTTAAATATTCAGCCTAAAACTGTCAGTATTGTGCCGTCTTCGGGTAAAAGCTCTGCACTGCATTTGAATTTAAATCTGCCACCGCTATTGGCTAATAGGTACACTATGACAATAGCTGGTACATTATGATGTCACAATGTTGTTGTCAGCCTGTGTGTGCGTATTTGATAACGGCTCCTCTCTCTCGGTCTGCCAGGCAACAGCATTTGTTGTATTTTTCAAACATGAAGTGGAAGTGGAATAAGACTCTGGTAGGGGGTGACTTGCTCTTTAAATAGAAGCCGTTAGAGTTAATAAGAGTGGCTACACGGGGAGCGCCACTCTGGATCCCAGAAGCGCCGTGCTGAGGCGCTGAAGATAGCCACAAGTTATGTTTACAACATTGTGGAGTACTTTACAACAGACATTACGAGGTGGAACGGATTCACGGCAAAAACCCAACCGCAGTTTTGATAACTTTAAAGTACTATTGATCTTAACATATTCTAATAAATTGCTTGCTTACACATTTTTATTGAATTAGAGTCTCACAAAACACGACGGCATGTCTGACCACGTATAAACAATAGAGTCACTTCCCTCTTCCTGTTCTCAAGTCCCACGTAATGTTGTGACTGCCGCACGACTTTCCAAGAAACGTTCAGCGGCGCGTCCTGTGTGACCACTTGACTTCTCAAGTGTGCCCCAGGTTATAGAATTAAGCTTTCTCTCAAATGCTTTTGTCATTACAATTTTCAAACGTAAGTCTATGCATAAAATTTCTTTAAATATTTTAAAACATATGTAAAGATTATTTTGGTGAGACTCCTGTTGGTCCACCTGAATAAACATACTAGGACTTATCAGGACCCGCTGCAGTTTGCTTATCGCCATGGAGTTAGAGTTGAAGATGCCATCATCCAGCTGCTTCAACCAACCCACTGTCATCTGGACAAAGCAGGCAGCACTGTGAGGGTCATGTTCTTTGATTTCTCCAGTGCATTTAACACAATCCAGCCTGATGTACTTTGCCAGAAACTCCAGAAGACACAGGTGGGGGCCTCAGCTATCGCCTGGATTAAAGACTACCTGACAAACAGACCACAGTTTGTGAGGCTGAAGAACTGCACATCAAACCAGGCGATCAGTAACATTGGAGCACCACAGGGGGACTGTACTCTCACCATTCCTTTTCACCCTATACACCTCAGACTTCCAGTACAAATCAGAGACCTGTCATCTACAGAAATACTGAGATGACTCTGCAGTTGTCAGGTGTATCAGAGATGGACAGGAAGCTGAGTTGGTGGAGAGCTTTGTGGCATGGTGTGGAAACAATCATCTGACCTTGAATGTGAACAAAACAAAGGAGATGATTTTTGACTTCAGAAGAAACAGGGTGGAGTCAAACACTGTTTCCATCATGGGAGAAGAAGTGGAGGTGGTTGAGGAATACAAATACCTTGGAGTTCACCTGGACAACAGACTGGACTGGAGAAAGAACAGCAAGCCGTTTACAAGAAGGGACACAGCAGACTGCACTTCTTGAGGACACTGAGGTGCTGAAGATAGCCACAAGTTATGTTTACGCTCCTTCAATGTCTGTAGCAAGATGCTGCAGATCTTCTACAAGTCTGTTGTTGAGAGTGTAATCTCTTCAGCCATCGTCTGTTGGGGTAGTAGCATCAGAAGCAGGGACCTGAAAAGGCTCAACAGCCTAATAACAAAGGCTGGTTCTGTTCTGGGGACGACTGTGGAACCACTGGAGGAGATAATGCAAAGAAAGATTCTCCAGAGAATCAAGAAAATTATGGACAACCCTGAGCATTCTCTTCACAAGACTGTCCAACAACGGAAGTGTCTTCAGTCAGAGGCTTCTTCAGTTTCGCTGCATCGCTGACCGCTACTGGAGATCCTTCCTGCCAACAGCCATTGTAATATACAATAACTCTTTGATGACTTCATTATTATTCTGAGCTACAACAGCAATCAATTTCCCTCTGGGATTAATAAAGTATTTTTTAATTGAATTGTAAAAGAAATGAAGAAGGACTGTGTGTTATATACAGTACATAACTTGTGGGGCTACACTCAGAATTTAGACCAAAGCTGTTTCAGCTCTTGAGCTTAAGTTTCTGTAGCCAGTAACAAGCCACTGGGAAGATTCAGACTATTTGATCACTCTTCCTTGCAGAATTTGTGGAATTTATTCAAACTTGCTGGTTTCTTGACACAGTCTCAGCTTTTAATGTTCAACAGAATTGAGGTTGGGGCTTAGGGAAGGCCATTCCAGAAGTATAATGTGAGCTCTGGCCTATTCAGAAACCATTCTTGATTTGTGTTTAAGATAATTGTCTTGTTAGGACACCAAAGTATATCCATATTTAAACCATCAAACTGAAGATTTTAGGTGATGTAAGAGAGTGTGGAGGTGATCCTCCTCCTTCATTGTACCTTCTGCTTCATGCACCAGTACTAAAGCATGATGATGTCCTTAAACCTTTTTCCAGAAGACATTCATCTTGTTCTGCTGAGCATTTCCGTAAAGATCTGATAGTTCATGGATGTCTCATTGCTGATGATCAGCTCTCGCTCACCTTTGAGTCAGTGGACAACTGCCCTTCCCCATTGAGCCACAGCTGTCCTCAGACTAGATGCTACTTTTGTGCAGCAGTAGCCTTTTTCTGGTTTGGTGACTTTTTGTCACTGGTTATTTAAACCTTCACTGTGGACACTGGTTTTCCAGAAGTTTCCAGTCCATGTTAGCATGGACCGATTTCCTTTTACCTGACAGTGACAGTTTAGCTTTAGTCAGTCCAAAAAGTGATATAAAACAGAGCTGCAGTCAGTCAAGATCACTAATGAGGGATTTAGAAGCCTTAAGCCTAGTTTATGCTTCTGTGTCTGCGTCGGTGCGGAGACACTTATCTGTCGTTGGCTTTCCTGCAGGCTCACAAGGACAAACGGAGTCGAGCCCACTTTTCTAAACATCCTCTGAACAAGACGGAGAACGCAAGCTTGTGATTGGTCAAGACGCAGCTTTCGTCAACAGCACCACCACCGCACCGTCAAAAACACAAAGAGAGCAGAGGATATCTAGCAGCAGACACAGAGCAGCTTGAAGAATACCTCGTGGAATAACTAAATAAATATTAAGGTTTTATTCACAATGACTGGAGGAGTAAAAAGTTACACATCAAACATTTGATACGTGGATGGAAATGATGGTAAAAATGGGTTTAGAGGTGGCGAGCGCATGAAGAGGTGGAGGAGAGTGAGGGAAAAATTTGTCTGGGTTAAAAAGTCTCTGAAATATAAAAAAATAATAGTAAATGCACTATCTTGGACCAGCTACATGACAGGATACCCAAGAACAGCGTTACACCCTCTGTTGTCCTGGTGGGGAATTGCTTTGCAACACCCCCCAGATGACGGAGAAGTCAGAGCAAAACATCTCTGTCAGTACGAGGCATCTCGCTCTCACGGAGCTAATGCAGAAGCATAAACTAGGCTTTAGTCTTAAAGCTAAAATCTGGAGTTTATTATCCGATGGCAGCATCTAGAGCATGTGTCAGACACAAGGCCTGCGGGCCAGATGTATCCCTTGGAGCATTTTTATGTGACCCACGAGATAAATATCAAAAATATATAAAAACTGACCCGCTGGCCGATTTTACCACAAAGAGTACAACTCCCATGATGCTTTGCGGCGTTAGCGCGGAGCTGAAACACCCCCCTCCTTTCTGTTTTTTCCAGCGTCTGTTGCCGGTGTCTGCAGCTTCGCTGTCTCAGACAAATGAAACACTACTCTCACTAGATGTGTTTACATGTGCCAAATTTCCTCAATCCGATTGAAATCTTGGTTGATCGGAATTTTCAAATCTCTGTTCACATGGACCCGAACTGAAATGATCCGATCATGCCGTGCATACATATGCACCAATCATTTAATCCGAATAAATACGTTGAGCATGCGCAGAGTTGCCTTTCCCAAAAGAAAAATTGTAAACAAACGCCATGAAACGAAATGAAAAATGTAAAAACAGAAATAACTATTCTTCCTGCTTTCCTGATCCATTTATTCAATTTCATATTTTTATTTAGCTCATAGAAGTTATGTTTTCTTCAGTAAATAACTGCAGATATATGCTTTGCTGCATTTTATTGTTGATTAAAATAAGGGAGGGTTATGTCTCTGCCTCTTGATCAGCTGGTCCGCGGGTCTGAAGTGACAGCTGTGCTGTTGCGCTGCGGCACAGAGCGGGGGTGGGGGGTGGGGGGGTTAGACTCATGTTTTATTACTGTCGTTTGTCGCCTCCCGCCTGTGTTCTTTACAAGCGCGTCTCCACCTGCTGCAGAAGCTGCTGCGTTCAAAGCTGACAGAAACGGGGATCCGTGCGCTGCAACCCCCGCAATAAACCTGCGTATTTCCAGTACAGATTTGAACATGTTTGTTGAATGATTTGTGCAATAATCAGATTTTTATTTTACTTCCACAAATTGCAAGTTCTGAATTAAATATTACTGAAACGGGGACGGCTTGTCGTTTTATTTAAAATTGACTTGCCTGTGTGTAATTTGGTTATTCCGCATTCAGTGTTAATGCAAAAATAAGTTTATTTCCAAAATAAAAAATTTCTAAATTGCATATATGTTGATAAAGAAAATGTGCAAATGTGCCGTCACTTTTTCAAAAAATATTAAGTTTGGCCCGTGACTTTGTCCCAGATTTTCATTTCGGCCCAGTGTGAATTTGAGTTTGACACCCCTGATCTAGAGGCTGACAAAAATTTAGCGCCTTAAGCCGTTCTTCACACTTCCATATTTACGGCCAACAGCAACACCTCTCGTTCACGAACAAGCACCTCTAGCCAACCAACACACCTTACATATATTGTTTTTTTTTTATTATTATTTTCATGTTGCTGTTTATTCAAATATGTATGGGCAACAGTGGCAGAGGAGTTAAGTACCTGCCCTGTAACTGGAGGCTGCAGGTTGGAGCCCCATCTGTTGGTGGTTGTATCCTTGAGCAAAACACTTAACCTGCCTTGGTGGTGGTTGAAGGGATCGGTGGTGCTAGTGCACGGCAGCCTCATCTCTGGCAGTGCGCCCCGGGCCAGCTGTGGCTACATGGTAGCTCAACACTACCAGCATGTGAATGTGTGTGTCTGTTTGGGTGAAAGACTGTGTTGTAAAGCGCCTTGGGGGGTTGTAGAACCATAGAAGGTGCTATATCAAATATGGACCATTTACCATATACGTATATGTTATTTAAACCTTACTTGTCCACGAGGAAGGTCGCCAGCTCTGCATCTGTCTAGGTATATCCTCAAACGCTCTGTGACTGACATCTGTATGTAAGTGGATAATGCTATTGGCTAATGCTGAGTGATGTTCACTTCAAATTGCATGGAGCTCTACGGGACAGCAGACGGCTCTTAGCAAAAAAAATTTAAAAGATGAAGCTTTCACTTGAACAGACGTCTAAAAATCATACATGATTCCTTGAAAAGGGGGAAGACACCAGATTGTAGTTTTAAGTTGCATTCCAAAACATTTGGCACCTTCCTCTGGAACTCTACCTGAGATGGGTGGACTCTGAGGTGTCTTTTTAAAGCCTTCTAAAAACCTATATTTTAAAATCTGCTGTGTCTTCATTTAGTTTGTGTTTTAATGTGTTTCCTCTGATGAAGCACTTTGTGAACTCATAAATGAACAGGTGCTTTATAAGTAGTTTTACTTAATCCTGTAAAATTGCAGCCCTTTGCGATTGATGATGACATCAAACTTGCTCACGTAGATGAAGTATGCCCCTAAAACGAACATGTCTTTAGCAACACCCCAAGTTATTATGACATTTATTCTCACGATAAGTGATCATGATCTGGTTTATTTTTTTATTTTCATTACTGGATTGTGTCCTTGCAGCGATCTCCTGGGCTTGGTGACCTATCTGGACTGGGTTATGATTGTAGTGACCATCTGCTCCTGCATCTCCATGATGTTTGAATCACCCTTTACCAGGGTCATGCACGTCCCCACTCTGCAGGTATTAGAACCAGATGGGCTGATGGTCACATGAGCAGATTCATGAGCAGACAGATGTTGTCATAATGGTGATGTCTGTTTCAGATCGGGGAGTATGTGTTTGTGATATTCATGAGCATTGAGCTCAACTTGAAGATCATGGCCGACGGTCTCTTCTTCACCCCCACAGCTGTCATCAGGGACTTCGGGGGAGTGATGGACATCTTTATCTATCTTGTAAGTGTAGAGAAGATGTTCTTACATTTAATTAGAAACCATAAAATGTGAAATATCACGAAGTATGAAATATCACCTTTATGGATCTTTGAGTAAATTTAACCAGAAGATTGGATATTTTTATTGCAGGGATTGAGCAACACTTCGTATCAACTCCAAAAAAGAGAGAGAGTCAGGTTTAAAAAGTTAAAAGATGTATTTCTAAACAAATTAATCAAGACCAACTTTAAACACTAGGTATATGGTCACTAAGGTGAAGTAAGACTGAGGATGGTGTATGTGTGAAATATGTTCAGAACCAGCAAATCCGGAGAAACGATTAGTTCTGATGGGAGTGAAGATGATGTTTCGCTCTAAGCTTTGGTTCTGAGATTTATAACACACATTGAGACGCCATTCTGTCGGTCTGCGTACCCTTGGCAGAAGTCCTCGTTAGATCAGGAATGTCGAGGTCCAGCTTGACCCTCTTTGAACCGACGCCTGTAGATATGCAGCGGTTGCCAACCAGACCAGTCTTGAGATACTTCTAGGTCATGACAGTTTAATTGGCATCTAGCAAGACCCTGAAAGGTTGTGATGGTTCAGTTTTTATTCTGAAGGAACCGTTGCAGCAGGTGGAACATGCTTTAGTCAGCTTGCCTTTAGGTTCTTTCGGCTTTAAGTGGAAAAGTTACAGATTGGCCACTCCGATAACTTCTCTAGAACGCTTGGAACTGAAGTTAAGATGACGTGGGCATAGTTTTATAATTTGGATGTTTTGATTTATGGTCGAATCAAAAAAGGACAACAAGAGGGGATGTACAAAGCACCAACAAAACACGCCTTGCGTCAGATCTGGAAGGTTCTGATTGGATCAGAAAAAGGAAATGTGTCATGTGACTTCAGAATCAGAGAGAATCAGAGAAAATTTTATTGCCAGGGCTCCAGCGAACCAGAGCATAGGAACTTGACTCCACAGAACAGCCTGACCAAGGTTACACGCACACATATAGACAGAACAGATACAGTCAGACCATGAGAGCAGCCATAACGGTGCTCATTTCAATTAGATGAAGAAGGGATTACATGGGGAGAGTTGGGGGAGGGAAAAAAAGGCAAACCAGAGTTACTACCGGCAGGGAATAGCTGTACTATGCAAAAAAACACGAACATATAAGCACGAACGTCACAGTTCACAACATTAGACCCGATGGGGGGGGCTGGGATCCTGGTTTCCTCAGCGGGAGCAGCCCGTGTGGCGCTCAGCCAACTGTATCCACAGGTGGATGGGAGGTCATGGGAAAGCACAGAGCGCATTGAGTTCCTGCATTTTGATGACCTCGCTAGGCAGAGACCACAGTCTGAAGGCAGGGGGTAGGTCGGGTTTTCACAGCATCTGTCTGCATTTCTTCCATCGTGGGGGTTGTAGCATGCAGCTCCAAGGCTGCTTTGGCGTCAGATTGGATAACAAGACTTTGTTTGGGTCAGGCAGAAATAATTTTCCTCTCTGCCTTAAAGTCTATATTGATCATTCAAGCCCTCCAGTGAAGCCAATTCAGGTATTAAACATCTCCACACCATCCAGTGACCCTCTCCGAGATGACATCCATTTTGCACACTAATACCGGCAACGCAGCAAGGACATTGTCCAGCTTACGGTTCACCTCGAGTAACGTCCCAGTCTGTGAGGTATCCGCCCGGGCGGTGCTTGCCATGGGTGCGGGTCGCACTCCAATCGCTCCCGACTTCCCAAATTTCCAGAAAACCAGATATCCTCCCACTCCAATCAGAAGAAATCCAGTGATCATCAGGCCAAATATCCACATATCTTCGACGTCCTCAATGGACAGCTGAAAGAGACAAACGATCCTCCAGACCTTCCAGGAATCGAGCGCATATCCCGCTGCGAGTGTCCCTTGAGGGCAAGTGGGAGCCCCCTCCTCCATTCTCATCATGGAAAAGATCTTATCAATCGCGTTGAATGACCAATTAATTAAATCCATTTCTAAAAAATAGGGATTCCCAGAAGAAATGCAGAGAAGCGCTCTGTAGGCAGACGGGACGAAGCCTTGGGGAAAAAGATAAGGGAGCAAAAAGGGAAGCGTCTGTACTCTGCGAGTGCCAGAAGACGCATTACGTGGATGAGAATGTCTAGTGTCTAGTTTAAAGTCATATTACTTATTAAAATACTACTGATCATAAACATTGTCATTTCACAGATTGGTTCACATTTTATTATTGGACTAACACTTTGTTTAATTAGCTTAGTAAAAGTAGAGAAAGAGTTCTTTGATTTATTATTATTTAAAGGGAAAGAGTTCTTTCTTCTTTCTTGTGCTGTCCGGAGAAGCAATAGTTTAGATATGCACAGAGCATAAGTGGCCTTGACCCATCCTTATAGATTAAGTTTGTGTCAGAAACTTCTGGTTTTGCTTTCAGCAGAGCAAAACATTAGTAGGGCCTTTTAGGTCAGAAATGGACAATTCATCACGCTACATAAGAAACTTCATTAAAAATGTGTTATGCCATAATTATTAGATGTTATCTGTCTTCTTTTGGGTTTATGTTTATGTTTATGTATTTAGCAGGCGCTTTTGTCCAAAGCAACTTACAAGTTTTAATCGGCATGTTGCCCTTGAGGCTAACAACAACAACAACAAAAACAACAAACAATTTCCAGTCAGTCATAGGTGGCAGTGAGGCAGCATTATGAATCATGGAGAGGGGGAACGGGCGCAGGGAGGGTGCTAGTTAAGAATATGCTCTCTGAAGAGCAGAGTCTTCCGGAGTTTCTTGAAAATCGAAAAGGAAGCCCCTGTTCTTGTAGTGCTTGGTAGGTCATTCCACATTTGTGGAACGATGCATGAGAAGACTCTGGATTGTCCTGAGTGTGGTGTAGGTACTGCTAGCTGACGATCCTGTAATGAACGGAGCGGCCGGGCCGAGACGTAAGCCTTTGCAAGAGGATTCAGGTAGATGGGAGCCGTACCATCTCGGACTTTGTATGCTAGTGTTAGCAATTTGAATTTGATGCGTGCAGCTAGCGGTAGCCAGTGGAGCTCAATGAACAGAGGGGTGAAGTGTGTTTTTTTTGGCTGATAGAAGACCAGACGCGCCGCCGCGTTCTGGACCATTTAAAGAGGTCTCACAGTACAGGCTGGAAGACCAGTTAGAAGGGCATTGCAGTAATCAAGGCGGGAGATGACAGTAGATTGCACCAGGAGCTGGGTTGCATGTTGTGTTAGGTATGGTCTGATCTTTCGTATGTTATACTGCACAAAGTGGCATGAACGAGAAACAGAGGCAACATGATCTTTAAAGGTCAGGTGTTCATCAATCACAACACCCAGATTTCGAACTGCTTTTGAGGGAGCCAGAGATAGGAAGTCATTTTGGATTGAGATATTGTGCTGTATGGATGGTTTTGCTGGGATGACAAGTAGTTCCGTTTTAGAGAGGTTGAGTTGGAGATGGTGGGATTTCATCCATTTTGATATGTCAGAGAGTCAGTTTGATATTCGTGCAGAGACAGTGTGGTCGTCCGGTGGAAATGACAGATAGAGCTGGGTGTCGTCTGCATAGTAGTGGTAGGAGAAGCCATGTGATCGAATGATCTCACCGAGTGACGTGGTGTATATGGCAAAGAGAAGAGGTCCTAGTACAGAAGAAGAAAGAAAGAAAGAAGAAAATATTTCTATAGTGCCGCTCAAGATAAAAATCACGAGGCGCTTCACAAAAACAAAAAATGTAAAAATAAAAAAAATAATTTAGAAAATGGTTAAAAATATATTTAAAATGAGCAAAAAATAGACAATTGTGATTAAAAAATGTTAAGAAAGAGAGAGAGTGACTAGAAAAGAGGGAAATCAGTGGATCCTGAGGAAGGTGGAATAGATGGGGAGAGCAGAATAAAGAGAGAGTGGTGAAGAAGGTCATACAAAAGCCAGCTTGAACAAGTGAGTTTTCAGCTGTTTTTTAACCACTGAGTCCACTGATCTCAGGCTCGGGGGAGAGAGTTCCAGAGTCTGGGGGCCACAGCAGCAAATGATCTGTCAACTTTGGTCTTTGTGCACTGCACAACCAGTAGGCTTTGATCACTGGACCTCAGGGACCTGCTGGGGGTGTAGGGACTAAGAAGATCACCAATGTAAGATGGTGCTTTTCCATGTAAGGCCCTATAGACCAGAACCAGGATCTTGAAATGAACCCTGAAGTTGACTGGCAGCCAATGAAGCTGGATGAGAAGTGGGTGATGTGGGTGTGTTTGGAGGTCTTGGTCAGAAGCCGAGCACAGGCATTCTGAACCACCTGTAGACGGTTCAGGGAGGTTTTGCTTAGACACGTGAAAAGAGAGTTACAGTAGTCTAAGCGTGAGGAGATGAAGGTGTGGAGAACTGTCTCAAGTTCAGAGTGGGACAGAATGGGACCCAGCTTTGCAATGTTCCTGAGATGGAAGAAGGCAGAGCGAACAACATAACTGACATGAGAATCCAGGGTGAGAGCTGGGTCAAAGGTCACGCCTAGATTCCTTACAAAAGATTTGGTGTGAGAAGCAAGCTGACCAAGAGAGTCTCTGACTTTGGGAACCAGCTTGTCTGGGGCACGTATGAGGATCTCAGTCTTATCTTCATTCAGCTGAAGAAAGCTCCGAGCCATCCAGGTTTTGATAGAGTCTAAGCAGGTGTGTAACAGCTGCAGCTTAGACATCTCATGGGGCTTAAAAGAGATGTACATTTGGATGTCATTTGCATAAAGATGATAGGAGATTCCTTTAAATGAGCTCAGGATGTGCTGAAGAGGGAGCAGATAGAGGAGGAAGAGCAGAGGCCCCAGCACAGAACCTTGTGGGACACCATGGGACCTAAACTTGGAGACGGCCACAGAAAATGAACGCTCAGAAAGATAAGAGGAGAACCACTCCAAAGCAGTTCCTGATAGGCCTACCCAGTCTCTCAGCCTCTCCAGTAGCAGTTGATGGTCAACAGTCTCAAAGGCTGCAGTCAGGTCCAGCGGGACCAGAACAGAACAGTCCCCTGCATCACTGTGAGTCAGAAGGTCATTAGAGACCCTAAGAAGAGCTGTTTCAGTAGAATGAGCTCTTCGAAAACCTGACTGGAAGCATTCATAGATGTTATGTTCATCAAGAGCAGCTGTGAGTTGTTTAGCCACAACTTTTCCAAGATCTTGGAGATGAACGGAAGTTTAGAGATGGGTCTGAAGCTGCTATGGTGAGAGGGGTCAAGACTCGGTTTTTTAAGAAGTGGGTGGATTACAGCCTTCTTCAAGTAAGCAGGGACCTGATCAGAAACCAGAGAAGCATTAATAATGTAGAGCACGCTGGGACCGATGGACTGAAAAGCACTTTTAAACAAAGATAGGGTAAGATGTCGAGGGGGCATGCAGAGGTCTTCATAGAGTCAACTATTTTGATTAACTCAGGCAAAGAAACAGGAGCAAAGCTAACTATGATGATGGGCCTGGTTGGAGTCGGGAGAGGCAGCGATAAGGCTGGAGGAGAGATGCTAGATCTAACCTTATTGACTTTGTCCACAAAGAAAGACAGAAAGTTCTCACAGTCTTCAACAGAGTGGATGGAGGCTGTAGGAGAGGCAGGAGAGACAATGCTGCTGATGGTGTTAAACAGCACCATGAGGTTCCCTTTGCTCTGAGACACCAGGTTGGAAAAATAGGAGACCCTAGCATCTCTGACTGCAGAGCTAAAGGATGTCAGAAGATCCTTTAGGTGCAGCAGATGGATGTGGAGATGGGTTTTCTTCCACAAGCGCTCAACTTTTCTGCATTGGCGCTTTAGGCTGCGAAGTTTGTCATTAAACCAGGGAGTAGGGTTCACTGCAGGAACTGATCTGGTTCTGACAGGACAGATGTTGTCCAGAATGGAGAGGCAGTGCTCGTTAAACTGAGAAGTTAAGGAATCTGGGTCGTTATCAGAAGAACAGGGTGGATCAAAAGCAGCAGAAAAATTTCTAGCTGTGCTCTCATTAAGAAAACGAGAACTAACCATACGGCGAGCAGGAGGTGGGGATGCAGAAGCTGACAAGTTAAAGAAAATGCAATGGTGATCTGAAATATAAACGTCCTCAGGACAAACACTGTCAGCATTTAGACTCAGGGTAAAAACAAGGTCCAGACTGTGTCCCCTGGTGAGTGTGGGGCCAGAAACATGCTGGGTGAAGCTGAAGGAGTCCATAAGGCTGGAGAAATTCATGGCGAAGTGGTCCGAGGGATCATCAACGTGGACGTTAAAGTCACCCACAATCACCAGTCTGGACAGCTTCACAGTGGAGGATAGAAAGTCACTAAGCTCCTGAAGGAAAGAACCGTTTGGACCAGGTGGACGATAGACCACAGCACAGTAGAACGGGTCCTTATGCCCGACTTTAATCAGCTGCAGCTCAAAGGAAGCAAAGTGACCAGAGGTTGTAGAGCTACATGGAAGATGGTCTCTGAAAACAACAGCCAGGCCTCCACCACGACCAGAACCCCGGGGCTGGCTAAGAAAAGAATAACCACTCGGGCAGAGTTCAATCAGACCAGAATAATCAGATGTTTGCTGCCAAACTTCAGTCAGAAACAGAAAATCCAGGTTTTTAGAGAGAATTAAATCATTGAGCAGGAAGGACTTATTGTTAACTGAGCGGGTATTTAATAGAGCCATGCTGAGTGAGGTGGAGGAATCAGAAACTACACAAACAGCTGGAGTTAGTGGATGTAAATTAGCAGGGTTAAATCCACGGTGTTTATAAAAAACACTTATGGAGGGAACAGGAGGAGAAACCACTGAGGAATGAGGATAAACCGACCATAAAACTTGGACGGAGAAACCGCGCCACAACGCGGCCTGGCGGGAATGCTGAAGTGGCGCTCAAGTCGCCAGACAAAGGAAGAGAAGCTAGAAGATCACGCCGATGTTTACTAGCTAAACCACGCTTTAAGAGAAGTCTTATTCTCACCTGGATTCCTGCTCGTTTCACTCTTTTCCTCCTACGTTTTCCCGGGACCGGATAAACATCGCTGGAGGCGCGCTGGTTGGGATCGTTGTTTGACTCCGGGCCGGTGCGCCACTCAGATAAACAAACAGGGAGGTAGTGGCAGAGCCCTGGGGGACTCCTGTGGCAAGATGGTGCACGGTAGAGGATTGTCCAAGCCAAGATACACTGAATGATCATCCTGTGAGGTACAATTCAAACCAGGCGTGTGCTTTCTCTGTGATGCCCATGCTAGTGTGTGGACAAAAGGAAGCCATATTTGACAGTGTCAAATGCAGCCGATAAGTCGAGCAGGATAAGCACTGAGGATTTGGCAGTCGCTTCTTTTAAGGATTCCATCACTGCTAACAGAGCAGTTTCAGTGGAGTGGCCCTTTTTGAACCCAGAATGGTAAGGTTTCTATTTTGGTATGACTTGGTGGAAAACCTCACAGAAAACTCACCACACATCTTATCAAATAAGAACAGAGATGTCAACATTTCTGTTTTGGGTCTTGCGATATTGATGGCACAACGCAACAAAAGATGCTCATAATGTTTATAATTTTGCCCCCTGCATGGCTCACACATTTGTCTGGAGTTTTGCTGCAGTCATTATAAAGTTTTGACTCCATATACCAGAAGATCTCAGAAAATGAAAGCATTTAATAAAACATGAAATTAGAATTGCTGTAATCAGCTTAGCTTAGATAGCAGCTTACCTGACTGTGATATTAATATGGTTTAAATGAATGTTGATTTTTTATCATCATGTTTTATTCAACAATGTTGTATGCATATTTTCTTTCATTATTATTTATACACAAAATGCCACATGTATGCATAGATGTAAAGAATCCTGGTGTCATGTATTTCTTCAACTGTAGATGTTACATGCTTCTTCGTAGTTAGCATTTAATAAAATCATATTTGATTTTGATCTATTTGTGGCAGGGATGTGTTTTTTGTCATGTCGTGTATAAAAATAAGTTTGCTTCAGTTCTATTCCAGAGCTTTACTGATTTTGTAGCATTATCATGTTGAGAATTAAAATGCTTAACTTTTGGGGTTGTTTTTGATACTATAGGTTGGAGGTCAAATAGCTTATGGACCGTTTCATAAAAACATCAGATTTTTTTTTGTTGTTTTTGTATTAAACACTGACTCTAAGAAAAGGGGTGACACCCAGAGGACTCTCAGCCATTCTCACCACCTGTTGCAGGTTTTTTCTCTAACTCACCCTGCAGTTAACAAACCAGGAAGTGATGCAGTTAGTCAGGATGCTCTTATTGGTACCCTGGTAAAAGGTGATGGGACGGTGGAGTTCAGTTGCAGCGCTATAGACATTATTAACGAAGCATGCCTAGAAAACTGCATCTGGTTATTTGTTTTCTTTGATTAATTGAATTGAATTGAAACTTAATTTATTTGAAATTGAATTGAACTTGACTGAAATTTGATTTAATTTAACGCCTTTATTTAGACTGAACTTAGTACAACAAAACTGGGGTCCAGCTGCTCCATAAAAGGACACAATAACAATGTAGAAGTCCCCATAAGGTGCAAAAGACAAAAAAATAAAGTTATAACATACAGTGTACATGTTGAACGCAATGGAGGGTACATCCTATGGTGTTTTTTGAAGTCTTGCTGTTTTACTCACTGCAGGTGAGTCTGATTTTTCTGTGCTGGCTCCCACATGACGTCCCTCCCGAGTCAGGAGCTCAGCTGCTGATGATGCTGCGCTGCCTTAGACCGTTGAGGATCTTCAAGCTGGTTCCTCAGATGAGAAAAGTGGTGCGGGAAGTTCTTAAAGGGTTCAAGGAGATTTTACTGGTTAGTTATTTAAAATGATTGTCATTAAATGATTGACTTTCAGTATGTTGTACCACATTAAAGTTCTCGACTCTCCTTAAGGTTTCGATTCTGCTTCTCACACTGATGCTGGTGTTTGCGAGCTTCGGAGTTCAACTGTTTGCTGGAAAGTTGGCCAAGTGCAACGATCCCCGTATTCTCAGACGGGTACTTCAACAATTATAATCGCCATATAAATCACTCTTTCCTTTTCTACACAAGCTGCAGAGAATCACAGTCTTTTTCAATAAAATCCAGCTTTTGTATTTAAACTAATCAATTTGCTATATAATGATTCTGCACATATTTATATACATTTTTTAAATTGTTCTTATGCTTGTTTAAAGAAACATTTCTGCAAGTCTCACCACATTATTGCATCAAATGTTTCTAGTTTATATGTGAAAGATGGAAGGATTCTGAAATCACTGGTTAGATAACAAATGTAGCAAATTCACATCTTTTCTGTTGGTTCAAAAGGACAACAAATCATTTTACAAGTAGTCATTAATTCATGTTTGTCATGTTGATGGTGTTTAAACTGTGTTTTGCTGCTACTTTGTGTGATTCCTTACAGGAGGACTGCCATGGCATTTTTCGAATAAACGTTAGCGTTTCCAGAAACTTGAACCTGAAGCTTAATTCTGATGAGAAGAAACCTGGTTTCTGGGTACCAAGAGTCTGGTAAGAGTCTCTTGTTTTGGTCTCTTTCATCAATTTGAAGTTGTTTTGCAAAACCAGTGGATACAGTTTTAATTCTTAACTTTTTTCCAGGGCTAATCCTCGGAATTTCAACTTTGACAATGTAGGAAACGCCATGTTGGCTTTGTTTGAAGTTCTGTCACTTAAAGGCTGGGTAGAAGTCCGAGATGTCATTATCCACCGCGTTGGACCGGTATACATCTTACTTTAACCAAACTCCTTTTTAACTTCACTGATCATATTTAAATGAATTAGATTAACTCTTCAATTATTTGCAGATCCATGGCATCTACATCCATGTGTTTGTGTTTCTGGGATGCATGATCGGTCTCACGTTATTTGTTGGAGTAGTCATTGCCAACTTCAACGAGAATAAAGTAAGACTCCTGGACTTCATTTCAACGTTTTACCAGTTCTTGAAATACCACTTTTACTCTGAGAGTGCTAGTCTTTTATCTAGGACTAATGAAAGACAAAAGTTGTTTGTAACTAGCTCTGATCTGCAAATGTGTTGTCTCTTTGCCTTCCAGGGTACCGCTCTGTTGACAGTAGACCAGCGAAGATGGGAGGATCTGAAGAGTCGGCTGAAAATAGCCCAGCCCCTCCACCTCCCTCCCCGTCCAGGTACAACAACGCATCCTAACATAGAGACACATAAAAAACTCTTAATGTTTAACATCATAACAGTCACGTCTGCCATCCTACTTCCTGATTGATTGTGTGCTGTGCACACGTGTCTGCTTCTGCATCACCAAGTAGCACCTGCATGATCAATCCACATTTATTAGTCCTTGTTTTTCAAAGAGGATTGATGCCTTGAGGGATTCATTGTGACACCCAAATGATGAGCTGCAGCAGTAATGAAGAAACTGAAAATGAAGACAGATAATGCAAATGGCTCAGAGGCAGAATCTCCCTTGTCTCTGCTTTCCACAATAAAATGAATCTAACTTAGATCCTCGGTTAAAGTCAACGGCCAGATTTTCTGCATTAAAGCTGCTGTAGAGAATCTGTAAACACAGTCACGGAACTCTCACTCTTCCTGTTGGGTATCTTCACTGGTTCCACGTCCACTGGAACCGGAAACCTGTAAACGCGATGGAGCTAAACACCAATCATTGTTTTTTAGGGCCAAGCGTCTTTTGTTGTCTGTCACTTCAAAATGATTTTTCCTTTTGGGACTCTGGAAGTTTGTCCTGATGTTGAAGTGGTAGCAGCTGGCTGTTTCTCCTTCTCTGATAATATTGAGCGGAGAACCTCTCACTGTTGTTATTCTGTTGCTAAATGACCCAGGTAAATGCAGAAGTGTGGCAGTTTGACGAGACCAACAACCGGATGGTCCAAATGTTGCTTTTGGTCCAAGCCGTGTTATTGGGGGAGGTTTTTAGACAAATGCAAGCGAACAACTTTATCATTTAATCTTTTTTTTTAATCTCCACAATGTATTCATAGCTATACTGTGTTAAAACCTTGTTTTGAACAATCATTTAAGCTAATTTTTTCCCCACATTTGCTATAGTAGCTTTAAATTCACATTTATGAATGAGCAGTAACCAGTTTCTCATTGTTCTTCTCTAACTGCGTGACTTCATGATAGCGCAATTAGCACTGTTGCCTCGCAGCAAAAAGGTTGCAGGTTCGAAACTCGGCTGTGGCCTTAGAGTTCCCCATGCATACGTGGGTTTCATCTGGGTACTCCGGATTCCCCCACAGATCATCGCTTTGGATAAAAGCATCTGCTAAATAAATAAACATAAACTTAACTCTAAGCATGGTGGAATATTGTGCTCCTTACTGATCACATTTCCTCATGGGAACACTGCAAAGTCACACTGCTGCTCTGGTTTGCGTGTCTACTGGGAGCTTTCTACAGCTGAATGAAGATAAGACTGAGATCCTCATCTGTGCCCCCAGACAAGCTGGTTCCCAAAGTCAGAGACTCTCTTGGTCAGCTTGCTTCTCACACCAAACCTTCCATCAGGAATCTTGGCGTGACCTTTGACCCAGCTCTCACCCTGGATTCTCATGTCAGTTCTCTTGTTCGCTCTTCCTTCTTCCATCTCAGGAACATTGCTAAGCTGAGTCCCATTCTGTCCCACTCTGAACTTGAGACAGTTCTCCACACCTTCATCTCCTCACTCTTAGACTACTGTAACTCTCTTTTCACGTGTCTGAGCAGAACCTCCCTGAACCGTCTACAGGTGGTTCAGAAGGCCTGTGCTCGGCTTCTGACCAAGTCCTCCAAACACACCCACATCACCCCACTTCTCCTCCAGCTTCATTGGCTGCCAGTCAACTTCAGGGTTCATTTCAAGATCCTGGTTCTGGTCTATAGGGCCTTACATGGACAAGCACCATCTTACATTGGTGATCTTCTTAGTCCCTACACCCCCAGCAGGTCCCTGAGGTCCAGTGATCAAAGCCTACTGGTTGTGCAGCACCAGGCTAAAGACCAAAGGTGACAGATCATTTGCTGCTGTGGCCCCCAGACTCTGGACCTCTCTCCCCCTGAGCCTGAGATCAGTGGACTCAGTGGTCTCCTTTAAAAAGCAGCTGAAGACTCACATGTTCAAGCTGGCTTTTGTATGACCTTCTTCACCACTCTCTCTTTATTCTGCTCTCCCCACTTATTCCACCTTCCTCAGAATCCACTGATTTCCCTCTTTCCTGTTCACTCTCTCTCTTTCTTAACATTTTTTTAATCACAATTGTCTATTTTGCTCATTTTAAATATATTTTTAAACATTTTCTAAATGCTTTGTTATAGTTTTACATTTTTTGTTTTTGTGAAGCGCCTCGTGATTTTTATCTTGAGAGGCACTATAGAAATGATATTTTCTTCTTCTTCTACACTCATGGGTACTGTAGACGCAGCTCAGAGGCAGTGTGGGAAATAGCCTGTTAGTACAGTAGAGTCTGAGAACTAACAGGAAATCAAAGCTTGGAGTTTAAGTCAGCTGTGCAGCTTACCCTAGCTCTAAAAACCTGACTGATCCACGTACAGAGGTGTTGCCCTCTCCTACTGAGGAACCGTTAGAGCTGTCAGCTGACCTGTAGTCACAGGCTTGTGTCTGCCGTGAGTTGCCAGCCTTCATAGGCTGCTTGCTTTATATTCATTAGCTAATGCATTGAAGTTGATACAAACTTGTCGCATGAGATTCAATTTTGCCTAATTTAAGTCTGACAAGTACACAGTACACAGAGGAGAATATTACAGATAGAATGCTAATCAATCTGAAACCTGATTATGTAACAAAGGCAGTGCAAGCGTGAACATCACCAAGAGAATAAATGTGTGTGCATCGTTATTAGGCGATGCAACGTTTAAAAATTAACCTTACTTTTTATAGAGGAAATTTAACACTAAAGCACCTCAAATTTTACAAATAAGCACTTTAAACTTTAAAAAGGTCATGTTTTAGTCCTCACAAATGTTGTGTGAAGAGGCGTTTTCTCTCTGTGTGTGTGTGTGTCTAAATCCAGTGGCCCATATAGGTCAAGATTTCCTAATGAGGGTAAATCAGGTAAGGAAAGGGACCTTTGAGGTTTTCACTGTACAGCCGAGAGGTGGAGTACAATATGTGCACTGCCCTGCATATTAATCATGACCTTTAATGCTGCTGACTTTGTACTTTATCACTGCTTTAGTTACTGACTGAAGATTTGGGATTTTATTTAAGATCCATCATGATCCTGAAATGGTAACTGTAGCCCAAACCAGAACACCTCCTCCACCTGGTAGCACCTGAGTAGTGCCAGTTGTGTCTTTGTGAGCAAGGCTCATTTCATCTATTCTTTTAAACTAGCCCAATCCTGTTTTAACTTGTTCAGTGGAGTTTCAGATCATCTTGGCCATGTTACCGATCAGTGATCAACTTCAGGTAGAATGCAGATCTAAAAACCAGCCGTGATGGAGGATAGCCTAACTGCTCATGGTTCACAGTTTATTTGCATCTTTTCTTCACATTTTATATGACTTGTTGAGCATTTGCAATGAAACATTTGATTGATGCATGGTCATATATCTGTAGCTTAGTGTGTTCAAGAATGTTGCATCCTTACAGAAGCATTTCACATGTTGCACTAAAACCTCCAGCTGAACGGGTGTGTAAAAGTCAGACTCAGATGGTCTATGAGTGCCATCTTGTGGTAACTACAGTCTAATGCACTGGCATGTTTAGATTTTACTTAAGTTCAATTTAAAATTAAAATTAGGGGTGGAACTGTATAAAATATATTTATAATTAATTAGAGGCTTTGTAATTAGTTAATCTTGATTAATTACATTAAAAATAACTGTAATGAGGTGCAGATGACTTACCCACTCTCTAATGAGTATATGTTTGTTACCAAAAGGTCTGTTTGATTACTTTGGTCTCATTATAAAGGTAACCATTGTGGGATTAGTTGGGATGTGTAAATATTAGTACATGTGTTATTTACAATGAACACTAGGTGGCAGCAGAGCACTTCTAATACATATAGAGGTGTAGTGTAGAGTTCAGGGGAAGTTCTGCTGAGAGTTACACGATGTATGCTCGTTCCTCCTGCTGTAAAAATGCTTACCGTAATTTCTGGACTATAGAGCACACCTCAATATAAGCCGCACCGGGCTAAAAGCTGCAGATATTTACTGAATTGAAAACGTAGTTTAACTGAACGTAACTGAACTGATCAGTATCAAACAAAACAGAAAAGCTATTGATTAGTTTATTCATCGTCCTCCTGCACACTGAAACCACTGAAGTCATCTTCTTCAGTGTCGAAGTTGAACAGCCTCAGAAGAGCTTCGTCACACACCTTTTCTGTGGCGATGTTAGTGTCGCCCTCTGTGTTGCTGTCATCATCCCGAGGTGAAGCTGGGAAAACAAGCAGCGCCGTTTTACTGTGGAAAAAATCTTCCTGGGTGCTTTCGGTAGCACTCCTTTAACCATTCCTTCATTAGACTTTCCAGCATCCATGCTTCCTGGTTGACTAAAGCCGCACATCATTATAAGCCGCATGGTTCAAAGCGTGGGAAAAAGTAGAGGCTTATAGTCCGGAAAATACGGTATATGGATAAAGTTACTTGCTGTCTGCTTTCTACCAACAACAAAACATAACAGTAAAAAAGTTTTTTTTTTCTTCACAAAGAACAATTTGTCATGAATAATTTAATTATTTTTGCTTTGTTTGGATTTAAAAAAAGGTTTATATGGTCTAGTAGCCCAGACGCTGCAGTTTTTTTAGAGGTGCAGCTGAATTTTTATTGATATAAAGGACATAAATTATGATGTCAAACTTTTTTGACCCCTAATTGAGGGGAACGCTCAGGTTCAAGCATTAATATTTTTAACACGTCATTTTTTTTCAATTACTTAATCATAATTAGTTTGTTAAAATCCCACCCCTACTTAAAATACTCATTTTTATTCAGAAGCATGAAAAATAATATTTGCTGTACTTTTCTGTAAGTATAGTTTTTTTTTTTTATGTTTGACAGAAAATGGAGGATTCCGAGCCAAGATGTATGACATCACTCAACACCCCTTCTTCAAACGAGGCATCGCAGTGCTGGTGTTGGCACAGTCTGTCCTGCTTTCAGTCAAGGTAGAACTTTTTATGTTTTCCGTTTAATCGCATGGCTAGTGGAGGTTTTACATAAATAAATGTTTTTACTCAGTGGGACGTCGGTGAAAATGGTGTGACTTTTCTACTCGCCACCATCTCTGTAGTCTTTACTTTTGTATTTGTCCTTGAGGTGAGTGTTTCCTTTTATCCAGCAGTTCAATCATCGTCACTTCCTTTAATATTAATAAACGTTGTTTCTCAGGTGACGATGAAGCTGATAGCCATGTCGCCAGCTGGTTACTGGCAGAGCCGACGGAATCGTTACGATCTGCTTGTCACGTCGCTGGGCGTCATCTGGATAATCCTGCACTTCTCCTTACTGGTCAGGGGGGAAAAAACTGTCTTCTTAGTGTGAAAGAAAAGAGTCAAAACAGCAGCTTTACTGTGTAAATCTCTCTCTGTAGAATGCATACACATACATGATGGGCACGTGTGTGATCGTCTTCAGGTTCTTCACCATATGTGGGAAACACGTGAGTTTTTTTTGTCCCGGGTGTAGTAAATCCTGTCACAGCAGGACTGAAATGTTGTGATTTGCTTGATGTGTGAAGGTGACGCTGAAGATGCTGCTGCTGACTGTGGTGGTGAGCATGTACAAGAGCTTCTTCATCATCGTGGGAATGTTTCTCCTCCTCCTCTGCTATGCTTTTGCTGGAGTTGTCCTTTTTGGAACAGTCAAATATGGAGAGAACTTAAACCGGTAAATCTCCTGACCTTTAAGTCTCTTAGCCGGGATCGAACCTGCAACCTTCCGATTACTGGACAACCCGCCCAACCTGTTGAGCTACTGCTGCGCTAATGTCTTCCTTTCCAAATCACAGGCATGCCAACTTCTCCACAGCAGGGCAAGCCATCACTGTCCTCTTCCGCATCGTCACAGGGGAAGATTGGAACAAAATTATGCATGACTGCATGGTAAGACTAGATCGCTGATGCAGTAGATAACTACTTACTCCTCAGCCGTTTCTCAATGTGCATACTTGCACGAACTTGTGTACTCACATCCTTGTGAAACGTCAACAACGATGGCCCAAGGACTGCTCCAATTCTAAGTATGCATAACAGCAAGTTTGCTCAAAGTTCCCGGATGTGTTCTTGCTCCGCCCATTTTATCGAGGATGCATCAATGCATCCGTCTGCGGACTTGGGACAGCAAAGTTTCCCATAATGCATTGCGTCGCAAACCGTTACACTCCAAACACCAGAGGACAAAGCTAGTAACTGTAATGTTTTAGATAGAAAAACTTTAGATTAAAAATAATCTAAAGTTGTCTGTTATTGTGAATAATTGTGCGTAAACTGTAAATTTTGGGGTTTTACACTTCACAATCCTTCAAAATGCTAATTAGCTAACCCACTATCAAAATAAAAGCACCGCATGTATGTTCTGATGAAATAATCTTTTTTAATTCATTAAAGAGCAGGAAATACTAGTATTTTAATAGTTTTAATCAAAAGTGGGCCAAATATGATACAATTAATACGTTTTTGTTGTTATTTTGTTATTTAAGAACAAACTAGACTTTTATTTTTATGTCAGGTTGTTTTTTTTTACTGTAGCAAGAAGCAGCACTTGTTGCCAGAACAAAACGGAGTACTGTTCTGTTCTAAATGCCGTCCTCGTACTCCCGTACTTGGTACAACAGACTTTCTGATGTCCTTGCCAAGAACATACTTGTCTAGTACACAAGAATGTACTAGTGACCTTGAGTATTGAGAAACGGCCCTTATTTCATGTTTTATTGTGATCTTTTGATAACTTAGTTTGTTTATTTTCTCTCGTCAGGTCCAGCCTCCTTTCTGCACCCCAGATAAGCGTCGCTACTGGGAGACCGACTGTGGCAACTACGCCGGAGCGCTGATTTATTTCTGCTCTTTCTATGTCATCATAGCCTACATCATGCTCAACCTACTTGTAGGTCAGTGCTTTCATGCCTCTTTGTTCCATTGTTCTGCTTTATCCAACCCTGATTAGCAGGTTGTCAGACTGGTACTGGATCAGACAGAGGGTAGCAGGGAGTTCATGTGTCGCGTGAGTGAGTGACCCAATCGCGGAGGAACTAGCGTCGGGCGGGATCACATGCAGTTAGCATAGGAACAACAAGGAAAACATACCCCTACAAAAGAGAACTGGACTTACTTGACTCAGGAGTAATAGTGTCGAGGTGAGAAGCTGGCATGGCATTTCTGAGAAGAAGCTATGGCAGAGTGGCGACGGGTGTGGAAGACATTGGAGATGACATGTGGCATGGCTTCCAGGGAAGGGAATGCTGGGAAATGGAGTCCTAGGGTGTGGTTCTGCATCCAGGCTGGCGCTGGTGGGTGGAACTCATGGCACAGGTCAATCACTGGCCTTGTTCGAGTTGAGCAGCTCCTCGCCTGGAAAGCAGACGAGAGCAGACGGATGCAACAGGGGGAGTGGCTGAAAGCCGGCGTTTAATTCGGACAGGTTTCCCTACATGTAGCTCGCGGGAGACGATGGATGAAGATATCGCGTTAGAGTTCCTACTTGTTTATTTATTTTAATTCTGGTGCCTGTTAGCAGGTGAAACACATCCTCACATGCTTCTGGATATCATATATTGTATATGGAGACATGACTGTAATAATAAGTAAAGGTTATCAGCTGTAGGTTTAGTGTGCTCATAGGAAACATGACAAAAGAACACAAAACACATTCCTCTTTATGGCCTATATACAGGTGCTGGCCAGTAAATTAGAATATCATCAAAAGGTTGAAAATATTTCAGTAATTCCATTCAAAACGTGAAACTTGTACATTATATTCATGCAATGCACACAGACCAATGTATTTCCAATGTTCATTACATTTAAATTTGATATTCATAAGTGACAACTAATGAAAACTCCAAATTTGGTATCTCAAAAAATTAGAATATTCTGAAAAGGTTGAATATAAAAGACACCTGCTGCCACTCTAATCAGCTGATTTACTCAAAACACCTGCAAAGGCCTTTAAAAGGTCCCTCAGTCTTGTTTTGAAGGCACCACAATCATGGGGAAGACTTCTGACTTAACAGCTGTCCAAAAGACAATCATTGACACCTTGCACAAGGAGGGCAAGACACAAAAGGTGATTGCTAAAGAAGCTGGCTGTTCGCAGAGCTCTGTGTCCAAGCACATTAAAAGACAGGCGAAGGGACGGAAAAAATGTGGTAGAAAAAAGTGTACAAGCTCTAGGGATAACCGCACCCTGCAGAGAATTGTGACGACAAACCCATTCAAAAATGTGGGGGAGATCCACAAAGAGTGGACTGCAGCTGGAGTCAGCGCTTCAAGAACCACCACGAGGAGACTCATGAAAGACATGGGATTCAGGTGTCGCATTCCGTGTGTCAAGCCACTCTTGAACATGAAACAGCGCAAGAAGCGTCTCGCCTGGGCCAAGGACAAAAAGGACTGGACTGATGCTGAGTGGTCCAAAGTTATGTTTTCTGATGAAAGCAAGTTCTGCATTTCCTTTGGAAATCAAGGACCCAGAGTCTGGAGGAAGAGCGGAGAAGCACAGAATCCACGTTGCATGAGGTCCAGTGTAAAGTTTCCACCGTCAGTGATGGTGTGGGGTGCCATGTCATCTGCCGGTGTTGGCCCACTCTGTTTCCTGAGGTCCAGGGTCAATGCAGCCGTCTACCAGGAAGTTTTAGAGCACTTCATGCTTCCTGCTGCTGACCAACTTTATGGGGATGCAGACTTCACCTTTCAACAGGACTTGGCACCTGCACACAGTGCCAAAACCACCAGCACCTGGTTCAAGGACCATGGTATCCCTGTCCTTGATTGGCCAGCAAACTCGCCTGACCTTAACCCCATAGAAAATCTATGGGGTATTGTGAAGCGGAGGATGCAATACGCTAGACCCAACAATGCAGAGGAGCTGAAGACGACTATCAGAGCAACCTGGGCTCTCATAACACCTGAGCAGTGCCACAGACTGATCGAGTCCATGCCACGCCGCATTACTGCAGTTATTGAGGCAAAAGGAGCCCCGACTAAGTATTGAGTGCTATACATGCACATTCTTTTCATGTTCATTCTTTTCAGTTGGCCAACATTAGAGAAACAAACATTTTTTCATTGGCCTTTAGAATATTCTAATTTTCTGAGATACCAGATTTGATGTTTTCATTGGTTGTCACCTATAAATATCAAAATTAAACGTAATAAACATCGGAAATACATTGGTCTGTGTGCATTGCATGAATATAATGTACAAGTTTCACGTTTTGAATGGAATTACTGAAATATTTTCAACCTTTTGATGATATTCTAATTTACTGGCCAGCACCTGTAGTTGTCATCAGCCACGTTACATGATTTAAAGAAAACATGTGACCAACTAACATTTTGCATTCAACCACCGGATGTTTGGATCAAAATGTGAACCAATCAGAACTTAGATCAGGTGAGAGCCAGGCGTTTCCAGTCATACCCTAGGTTTTGCAGCCGGTGGAGAGCAACTGCAGCGCCTTGCTCCAAAATCTGCGGCTGTCTTGATCTCACGAGGATATCGTTGCCTACGTAGGCATGACGTCAGAGCAAGTCGGCGTCAAGTCGGACACAAATCTAACCGGCAAGCACTGCTCGCCGATCACCGGTGATCTAATCTGCTCAGAACCGGCTCATCTTGAACACGGCCACTTAGTGGAGCATATCTGCATAAAATAAAACATAAATGACAAAAAACACACTTTCTTACAAATAAAACAAATGGGACTGTTTTAATAAAAAGTTTTAAATTATTTGTGTTGGATTTGCTTTCATTTTATGAAGTTCCTTTATTATCTGTATTGCCCCAAAGGCTTTCAATAATCAAATTTAATAGAAAAATAAACCAATGTATTAATCAAATTGTTTCATCTTATAAAAACATGTTTGACTCTTTTCTAAATGAACTGCTTTCACCCAGATGGCCTACAGAAACTTCAAATGTTCTACTTAATGTTACACACAACTGCAAAATAAACACTCCTAAAATAATTATTTTTTTCCCTTTTATTCCTTCACAAATTATAGCAGCCATTTAAGTAGATAAATTCATTATTCATTCAGGGTTTTTTGTTATTCACAACCTTGCAAGAAATCTCTACCTTATTAATTGTTATAATAAGGAAACTTTTTTTTATTTTAAGAATGGCTGGGGTTTTCATGGGAAAAATCTATTTTACTATAATTATATAACTTTTAGCTATGATGCTAATTTGCAATCACAGCACTAAATTGCTGCTATTGGCCAGGTCAAATGGAATTCCTGTGGTTAGTGCAGTTTAATACATTAAACATTAAAAGACTGAGTGCAGTTTCTCTTTAACTTTAAAAGGTTTCTACATCAACTTTTATTATTGTGGCGTTAAAAACATCTCATTCGCACTGAACAGGCAATACTTTTTCATGCTAAGATGAAACAAAGATGATAACTCCGCTGCAGTTGTGTCCTTTGCAAGATTCAAAGCACTTCTCTTTAATTTGACATTTCCACTAACACAACCATGCAGGTCCTGCTAATGAAGAATACATTTAAGTTAATTTATTTCTGCTGCTGCAGCCATCATTGTGGAGAACTTCTCCCTGTTCTACTCCACCGAGGAGGACCAGCTGCTGAGTTATAATGACCTGAGGCACTTCCAGATCATCTGGAACATGGTGGATGACAAACGAGAGGTGAGAAATTAGCAACAGCAGGCACAATGTGGAGCCTATGCAGGACAGCAAAGGCCATTATAGAGAAGATAATGCTGCTGAAGGGGATGGGCTACAGTTTTCAGTAATAGGGTGGACAGCAATTAAAGGAGCAGGTGTCTGATTAAAGATGGACTCTGTTTATTTAGCCGTTACTTTGCTGCTTTATTGACTTTTCCAGTTACTGCAGCTGAGATACTCCTGATTTGTTTATTTTCCCATTGAATGCTCCTGCAGGGCGTGATCCCGACATCCAGGGTGAAGTTTCTGCTCCGTCTGCTCAGAGGCAGGCTGGAAGTGGACCTGGATAAGGACAAGTTGTTGTTCAAACACATGTGTTATGAAATGGAACGACTTCACAGTGGAGGAGATGTGACCTTCCACGATGTGCTCAGGTGAGCGTTAGCTCTCAGCATGAATACTCGGGTGTGTCCAGTTTTAAAGGTAGGAAGAGCTCACACCAGGTTGGTTTGGGGATTTCATCCATATCATGTTATGTGTATTCATGAAGTGAGCGTGGATGGTAATGAAAAGCTGATTCAAGGAGATTTTCAAGCTGCTTATTCGTCTCAGTCATGACTGGTAACATCAAAAAAATGTTCAATAGAGACAAAATTTTTTTTTTTTTTTTTTAGGATTTTGGGGGCCGATAAGAATCCACTTTTTGGTAAAGTGAAAATGAGTAATTTTTACCGCTAAGCTCTGGAAATATCCATCAAAATGTTGTAGTAAATGAGTTAAAAGATGCCCAGTTGTTGAAACAAATTTGCAGTTTCATAACATATAACCATAAAAATCTGTTCTAAAATACATGGAGCGGGTCTAAGTCTCTGGGCGACGCCATATTGGATGCCATGTTTTCTTCTACGGAAGCCCATGAGGACAAAATGCATTTACTGATTTGTAACAAGTGGTTACAAAACTTTCACCTTTAATAAACATTGTTACTTAACACATTTACCTCATCACTCATTGCCAGTTATTAATGGAATCTGTTCTTGTTATTTTGCTGGAGGTTGCAACTACCACCCGTTGGTCTTATTTGAACACAAAAATAGTGCTTGATTGCAAAGATTTAGATATCTACTGCCCCCTATCGCCAGGGAAACTACACACTGTCACCTTAAAGGTGTGGATTACTGACAAACCATTTTTTAAATCATATCTCTGATTTTTATCTGTCACTGAGTTTTTATGCAGGCTGAACATTAAAATAGTCTCGTACACCTAGCTTCTGATAGAAGATAGACGAAGAAACTCTAGGATTTGAAAAGCCTGACAGATCTGTGTCACACTGTGAATTAGGATTTGTGGACTCACCCATCTTGGCTTATGACAGGGAAGTCTGTTGCTGGTCTAGCATCCAGGAACCAGTAGAGAACGTTTCAGCTAGAAGGAGCTAACTGTTAGCATTAGCAACTCCATCATACAGCAAAACGCCAAACTTGTGTTATTTGTGGAAATAAAACATCAACATTGCAAGTCAGTGATAGAGTCGCATTGCTGTTGTCCAATCCAATGTTGTCCATCTCACGACAAAAGAAATAAGGAAGTTGGAAGCCACGGTCAAATCAAACTAAAGAGAAAGAAATTGCCAAACAACCCAGTCCCGTCCTCTAAGCTGGATTAACCAAAGACTAAAAACATGAGACTTCTGGTAACTTTGAAATGATTTATAGAATAAATGTTTAATAAAAATGATGTGGAGCGAAGCTGGTGTCTGAAGGTTGCAGGTTAGATCCCAGCTCCAACCCGAGAATGCTGCCATTGTGTCCTTGGGCAAGACACTTAACCCACCTTGCCTGCTGGTGGTGGTTGGAGGGACTGGTGCCGCCAGTGTTCAGCAGGCCACGCCTCTGTCAGTGCGCCCCAGGGCAGCTGTGGCTACATCGTAGCTCATCACCACCAACGTGTGAATGACTGATTGTGTTGTGAAGCTCCATGGGGGGTTGTAGAACCCTAAGAAGGTGCCATACAAATGCCGGCCATTTACCATCTGTATGTAAGCGGATAACGCTATTGGCTAATGCTGAGTGATGTTCACTTCAAAATGCATGGAGCTCAACGGGACAGCAAACCTTTCTGTAGTGGGAGGGGATGGAGTCTGCCCAACCTTGTAAAGCTGAGGAGTTCAAAAAAAGCAAGTTAGTGTCATGATGCAGTTATAAAATCTCACTGTCTCTTAGAAACTCTGCTTGGAGTCACAATGTTGGATAATGTTCATGTAATGCTCGTTTGTGACAGTGGTGTTATTCGTCTCAAAAAGCTCTTGGAAGAAGACAGATCTGCAAACGTGTTTGTTGAGAAACTAAGACAGGGAGGGGTTTACGTGTAAAGTAAAACAAATGTTAAAATAAAGATGAAAAAAAACTTCAAATCTAAACTCCTTAACATTCTTCTGAGAATTTTCTCTTTTGTCAACATAGCAGTATGATCTTTAATGTAACAAAACAAAGAATTTCCTTTAAATTGTTCAAAAGCAGAAACAGGATGATGGTTACGCTCCAGTTACAAGTCGCTGCATTTAGGTGCAACATCTGTTTAAGAAGAAGAAGCGTTTTTAATATACAGCCTCTCAAAATAAAGTATACTCAAAAATATCATGATAAAAATGGGGAAAATTGAAACATTTAAATAAAAAAAATGAGAAGAAAGACAGAAAATGAATAGGTAAGCATCCCAGGAGTTTGTACCTGCTTATTTTTGGTGTAAAAAGTAAAATAATAAAAGAAACTGCAAAATATTTGCATTATTTTGTCCTAATCTTGTGTGTGTGTGTGTGTGTGTGTGTGTGTGTGTGTGTGTGTGTGTGTGCGTGCGTGCGTGCGTGCGTGCGTGTGTCCAACATGCAGCATGCTGTCATACCGCTCCGTGGACATTAGGAAGTCTCTCCAGCTGGAGGAGCTGTTGGCCCGGGAACAGCTGGAGTACACCATTGAGGAGGAAGTGGCCAAGCAGACCATACGCATGTGGCTGAAGAAATGCCTCAAGCGCATCCGAGCGGTTCGTCTCTCCGCAAGGAAAACACTCTTCTTAACCCTCTCAGGCTCAAAATAAGTTTTGATAAAAGGACGAACGACTAAGTCCTTCAGGGGTACTTCTGAGTTAAAAAATGCTCATGAGACACGTATGTGGAGTAACCTGGTAGGTAGGTTTTAACTGTTTCAAATCTGCAACGCCTGCCTCCAGAGGGTTAAACAACTCAAACGTGTGTGTTTGGTTTAAATGGCACTGGTTACTGATGTGTGTGTGTGTGTTTACAGAAGCAGCAGCAGTCGTGCAGCATCATTCACAGCCTGAGAGAGAGTCAGCAGCAGGAGCTGAGCCGCTTCCTCAACCCTCCCAGCATAGAAACCACAGTGCCAAGCGAAGACCACAACACCCACAACACAGACAACCCCTCTCAGCCTGAGGTAAAGCCCCGCATCTGAGCCGCTGCCACCAACACACTCACACATGCTCACAGCTTGACGTCACGCTAGCACATCATATAATCTCCAGGTATGCTCTTGCACGGGTGCAACAAAGGGTCTCTCCTCTTTGTTTAGATGAGTGGTCTCCAGCAGCTCCTGAGCCCCACGTTGTCAGACAGAGGAGGCTACAGGCAGGACTCCACCGACCAGGGGAGACCACAGAGGAAGCTGGGACAGTGGCGGCTGCCTGCAGGTGCGTCTGCTTCTGTAGTCTGCCTTTACAAGCAGGGAACAAAGAATTTCTCAAGCTTCTCTCTTCTCTGGAAAACAAAGCTCCCAAAGTTTTTTATTTATTTTTTGGAACCTGTGCAAGAGAGATTGAGATTTCAATCATTTGAAAATAAACCCTTACTTCCAGTGGTGTCCTGTTGAGATGCTAATAATGTCCCACTGGTGTGGAAATGGAAGAATGAGCTCAAAATGTCATAGATGCGTATCAAGCTGCAGAATTTCTTTTGGTTGTGTTTCTACCAGGTCGCACAAGCGTCAAATCTGTTGTCTGTAAGATGAACCCCGTCAACGACGAGGCTTCGTCGGGGTCAGAGGTGAAGAAGTGGTGGACTCGTCAGCTGACCGTGGAGAGTGACGAGAGTGGAGACGACCTCATAGACATTTAGAGATGAGTCCTCGCCTTCGGTACCCGCCACGAGCTGATTCACTCAAATAAGTGTGTGCGTGTGTGTTGGATCATCCAATCGGAAGCCTTTTTGACACATTGGCCATTTTCTACACTGTTTGGGGTTGTGTTTCTTTCCCAGTGTGACATCATTGCTCACCTTTCTATGCAGACACATCTAGTATTAAAGCAGATGATCCGATTGACTCGTATCCATAACAACCTGCGTCTTTTCTACTGTTTGGGATCAATATTAAAAACTGTGTTTAAACAGCTCTATTAATATCTGTTGTGTATTGATGTTGATGCTTCATCTGTGTCCTACTGTGGTGTTCACACTGTGTTGCTTTTCTTAGTCACTTTATACCTGAAGCAGACCTCTCGTTCCTGTCGGTAGAACAAGGAAGTTATAGTAAATTTATGACTGTGAATGTAATTAAAAGTTGAATCTTTATGTATTTGTGCAGCACTAAAACACAAACTATTTTGTAACTTATTAGAGATTCTTATCTTTATCAAGTATTCAGCTATTATAATAAAAGCCTGTTTGGCATTTATGAGATGAAACTTGGTCGTACTGGATTTCTTTACACATTTTTTACAGTTTAAGCAGCTGTTTTTAGAATAAAATCAGAATTAACTCTTATTTTTTTTACATCTTTTTAATGTATTTGTTTGGCAAATGTTCTTTATTTAAAGAAAATATGAGCTGACTTATGTATTATTGTAATGCACTGCAAATAGCCTTTGAGTTACACTTACAAATTAATAAAACATCAAATGTCTTTTTTCTTAAATTTTCAATGATTTGTTTTGCTGTTGGAGTAAAATACTTAGTTTTCCTTCTTCAGAACTGTATAGTTTTTACTTTCTTGTCTAACTCTTAAAAGTGTCCTTTTACAACACAAACTGCAGTCCAGATGAAGTCCAGAAGAAAGATGAAATGGACTAAAACTCTAAAAATACAACATGGAGGTGGCTGTAAATGCATCACGGCTTCACTTTTCAACAGTGAAAGGACAGAGTTCCAAAACTGTTTATTATAACTGATGACTATAGGACTGAGTAGCCCAGTTGTTCGGGAGGGGCTTGGAGTAGATCTGCTGCTCTTTCACCTTGAGACAAGTCAGTTGAGTTAGGATGCCTCCTTGACACGTCCTGGTGAGGTTTTCTGAGCAGGAAGGAAACCTAAAGGAAGACCCAGGACACGCTGGTGGGAATGTTTTCTTGTCTGGCCAGGGAACGCCTTGAGATTCCCCCAGAGGAGCTGGCCCAAGTGGCTGGGGAGAGGGAAGTCGCCCAACCCCCCCATCACCCCCCCCCCCAGTCTAATTCCCTCGTGGCCCGACTCCAGATAAGTGGAGGAAAATGGATGGATTGATGGGTGGACTATAGGTGTGTATCTATAGGACTTTCAACTTATTTCTGAGGTGATACTTAACATTTCCTGTTTTTTATGCCACAAACCATCAAACATTCCTCATTTGGATTTTATCTTTGTAAGAGAGTCTCATATTTTCTACATAAATCCTGAGACTAAAGCACAAACTTCCATTTCAAAAGGATTTTACACTGAAACAATTATAGAAAATCTAAATAAACTTATCAAAATACACAACCTAGCTAAAAAAAAGGGGGGGGGGGGGCTACATATGTGAGCAATTGGTGTTTGTATACCTCCCACTGTCCTAAAGGGTGTGACCCCTCGAGGAAAGTTGACCATTGAGCAGGGTTGATGGTTTATCCCTTGGGTCCACGTGGCAGGGGTGAGGAGTGAGCACCACCTCACCCCTGCCACATGGACCTCAAGGGATGAACCATCAATCCTGCTCAATGGTCACCTTTCCTCGCGGGGTCACCCATAGAGACAGTAGGGGGGGTTAAACATTAAAAACCCTATGCAGCATCTCTAGATAACTGCTCCTCCTGGAAGCACGCTGAATTATTCCTCTCCTTTCTGAAGCTGAAGTTTAAGGTGTACTAACCTGTTTTGTCATCATCCTTCTTGTCATTTTGGCGTCCAACAGCACCTCCGTCTGCAGGGCTAGGCCTACTTGCTGAGTCAAACGTATCCACTGAAGAAAACGCTGATCCAGTGTGTCAGCTCAGCCGTGTGACTACAGCTCCCATAACCTCCCAAATAAACTGGAGTGTGTGTTTATGCAACACCCAATTAATTCCTTGTGTTGCACGGTGATGTTTTCTGTTCCAGTGAATTCATCAGACAATGGCTCCGGGTCAAATTGGAGCTAATTGCTTAAAGTGCTCACATGACTACATCTGTGATTTACTTTTAACAATGCACCTTGTTAGACACAGATTCGGCCTATTAAAGGAAATACGCTCTTCATTTGTCCATTTAAAGCCCTGCTAAGTTTCCTAACCAGTGGAGTGTGTGCTGGAGGCTGCTTGGCTAATGAACGTGAGCCAAATGACAGAAAGTGCAGAGAATCATCTGCCTGTGGGACATCCACTCCGTAGAAGTCAGGATTTACTTACACATTCCTCTTCTGAAGACCGAGTGCTCTCTCTGACATATGGTCCTGTAGGGAAACAGTGTGACATCAACCTTCTTGCCAATCAGCTGTCTTTAATTTGTCCTTTCTCACTTATTCTTCTCGTCAATCATCGCCTCTTAAGCGCCACTTAGTTGAGAGCAAGCTCATCAAAGGGCCTTTTCTCTCTTTATTTCTAATTTTCGCCCTGCGTGCGAGAGTACTTTTTTTGTCTTTTAATTGCCTCTGCATCGCGCCAGCTCTTATGAGGCCTGTTGTTTTTACCCTTTCTCACCACCTCTCCCCCGTGCACGTCCAGTGCTTATTTAGGGCTTAAATGAGGCACTTTGGTAATTGTGGAGGAAGTTCTTAAGAGCAGAGGGAGTGGAGGAGCGTCTGTGAGTCCAGATTACCTGTAATTAAAGTACATGATGGCTTTGATAGCTGGGTTCCCTCCTGTTGAGATCCAACGCCGGCAGCCGGCAGCATCACATGGACTTGAATATTCTTTTCTCTGCAATATGAAGCCATCAAATGCACTCTGATGTAGATTCAGCTGGCATGACGAAGAGTGTATTTACAGAAAAAAATAACACATGCTTAACAGTAGCGCAGCTCATGGCTCTGTAAATATTGGAAGGTGAAAACGTCTGAATTTTCACCCTTGGGGGTTGAGCTCTACTTGATTTTTACTTCTAAAAGGAGGTGTGCTTGTCTTAAAACACGTGAGAACACGGAGCTATCAGAAAAACACGGTTGGACAAAAACTGTTTGCTCTTGTTCTGCTTATGAAATCAGGCTTTGTTGCACTTTCAGAGAAGTTTGGCTGCTTTTATACAAAAATTTAGTTGTAGTGAATTGATTTACACTATATTTTAATTATGACCAATAAGATGTGAAGTTTCTATATAAATATGAAACATCAACCTGATTGATCTTTGAATGTTTAAACAGAATATTCTCGGGTTTTTTGCTTCTTCAGGCACCATAAACACACTTCGTATTAATTCAGACAGAGTCAGTATATAGTTTATAAAAATTAATGTATTATTTTTCCTAAACTAGCAATTATACATGACAACATATGAATCATGAGATGTGACGTAATGGATATGAAGTGATTTCATGTGATTGTGAAATGTTGTAATGGAAGCTAGATGTTGTAACAAAACCATTCTTTGTATCTGAGAGAGTTTGTGAAGTCTGGGTTGTAAAAGGATTTGTTGTTTGTTTATAAACTAAAGAGTTGTTTGTTTAAACTCATCAGAAGCCAGTGTGCAGGCTACGATACCCTTGGTATGAGTCGCTCCCGGCGGTCCGAGTGGTGAGGTCACCGGACGTCGAAACCACCAGCAAGAGGCCTTGAGTGATTTTGTGTCGTCTTGAATGCAAACAAGAACTGAGCAGAACTTTCTGGATTTGGAGGCCGGACAGATAATGGGTTTATGTCTGCTAATAAAAGGTTATCTTGTGGCCAATTAGATGGTGACAAATTTCCCGCTTGGTATGTTACATAGTTGTACTTTAGGCTTTCCCTTGATCCCAAATGTGGCAAAGAAAAACATAGTTTTATATTTAGTTCACACAGGAACGAGGTTTTTCCTAGACAATGTTGTTACAAGGCACCACAACTTTTGTTTTCAATTATTTTGAGATTCAATAAGAAAATGATGAATTTCAGAAAATGGTTTTGGAAATATGAACATCCCTCCAAGCTCGGCCTGGGAGCGTGAGGGTTCTGCAGTTTCCTAGCTGTTCCTAGAACTGCACTTTTCTGCACTGAGATGTCAGATGTTTTTCCTGGGATCTGCTGTAGCTACTCCTCAAGTCTGGGGGTTACTTCCCCGAGTGCCCCGATGACCACGGACACCACCGGCGTCTTCACTCTACAGGTTTTCTCAAGTTCTTCTTTGAGGCTCTGGTACTTCTCTAGTTCCTCGTGTTTCTTTATCCTGATGTGTCCATCACTTGGAATTGCCATATCAACCACAACGGCTCACCTCTGCTGTTTGTCCACCACCACAATGTCCGGTTGGTTCGCCATCACCTGTTTGCCGGTCTGGATCTGGATATCCCACAGGAACTTATCTCTCTCATTTTCTACCATCTTAGGGGGTGTTACCCACTTTGACCTTGGGGCTTCCATACCTATATATATATATATATATATATATATATATATATATATATATATATATATATATATATCAGTAAGTTTTTAGCGATCTGAGGAGCCTGTGATAAGATCTTTGATTCTATCATCATCAAATCTCAGCACAAAGTGCATCAACAGACCTAAATATCTTATTTGACTGAGACCAGTGTTCTGTCAGTTACATCCACATCTTTGCCTTTAAATTATTTTGTCTCTAGAAAGTTGGAAACACCAAACCCCCACCCCCACCCCGCCCCCACCCTCTAATAACTAAATTAGCTAATTTATAAACAAATAAACATTTCAAGTTTTTTTACATAGCAATCATTCAAAAAATATATAAAAATCACACTTCACCTAACTGAGAAAGAAAGTCAGAATTTAAATGAGCACAGAAGTTTTTTTTTTTTATTATTTCCATGTGAACATTGCCAGACGTAGATTTTAGGCATCTCTGTGTTTCATGTTATTGTTGTGAAGCTTTCCATGCCTATCTCTCATAAATAAGGTGATGGTCGTACAAATGAGCTCCCTGTATCTTATGTCAGCATCCACCCCAGGTCCGGACCCATTCCTTTCCCTGTGTTTTGAAACAGATGGCTATTACAACAATAAGAAAGTAGCAAATTATTTTAGCAGCAGGCGGCTAAAGCAATTAACAACTGGTATGATGTGTTGATTAAAATCTATTCCAGTCCAAATCATGGGGGGGTGGGGGATCGAGGGGACAAATGATCGGTTCAGTCATTTGGCAACCACCCAGGTCAAAAGATGATGACCTTCACCTGAGCACAGCTGTTATTTACACACTGGACCAACATGTGATGCTCCAAATTTATTATGTGGGTATGTAGACAAACCTACATAAAACATGCTTTTGTCCTCTACCTGTGTTTTAAATATTAAAGTTACAAAAACAAACTTGTATGTGTGTTTTATTACCTAAAACTAATGTTCCTCAGTGACTAAAACATTGACACATTATGCAAAACTCACCTTTGGCATCCTTTTGTGCTGCCATGATGGTCTCTACTGCCTCTATAAACACGCCAAACATGAAGAAAGTTCATCTGTCCATTTTCTGTCCGTGTTTGGTTTTAGGAATCATGTGCCTAAGATTAGTTGTTTTAAAAGTCCTCATGTGTGA